ATTCTTAATAGCCCAGAACAGCGGTGTCTGACCATTATGATCCTTGCAGTTTAAGTCAACACCCGCTTGTGCAATCAGCAACTGAATGACAGCTTCATGATTATTCTTAACAGCCTCTAACAGCGGGGTCTCGCTACCATCAACGCTGCAATTTAGGTCAACGCTACCTTGCGTAAGTAGCACTTGAATAACAGCTTTATAGCCTTTCGTAGCAGCCCATGAGAACAGGCTGGTATCCTGTATATTCTCGCCATTATTGTCAAAATCTAAAATTCCATCATCATATGTCATCATTGATGGTGATGTACTGTTGAGCGCATCAAGCCTGGCAGTCAACCCTCGTAATGAAAGAAATGCGCAGATTAAAGTTTCATCACATTCATCTCGTAGATAAGAAAAGATGCCGACTTTTCGTCTGAAGGCGAAATCACGCTTGAATGTTCTTGAGCTGGTTTTATTCCGAAGATAAATTTCGCACAGTTCGGGAAGTGGCGATTCTGATGGTAAAGTTGCTGCTAACAACTTCAAGAATGTATAGACCACTTCACCGTTATTGATGGCAAGTGCCGCAAATATTGGGGTGCCATAACGCTCAATTCCGTCTTCTATATTAAAGAACGAGAATCTCCTGGGGTGGATGCCAATTAAGTTGACCAAGTTTCTTTCCGCAAGAATGTAGAGGAGGCTGACTGAATTCGTATATCGCCGAATTTGGTGTTGCTCAATGGCGTTGTGCAGAAGTACCCACTTTCCCAAAGGGAATTCAGCGAGGAAATGCTCCTGATCTATACCACTGTGCTGGGCACTGTCGGCATGTTGAAGAGAGTAAAGTACTGAATATTCAAGAAATGGGTAATTCGAACGTATTGTCTGTCGCAATTCTGCTGTCTCGGATGCTGGTGGTAGAGGATCTACTATACCAGCATCTTGAAGGGCCAAGTTGTTCAGCTGAGCCAAGCAACCATCCGTCAGAAGTTTGTGGCTGTTGCCCATGAAGTTACCTGAAACTTTGGACCATTGGGCTTCGTATTTATTTAACAAGAAATCTCTCACAGACTCGTGAATGAATTGAACTTCCGAAGCCTTGTTTCGAGTGACTTCGGCTAAGCCTTTGGAAGAACTTCTCACAAAAGTCTTTATCTCTTCGAGTTCAATGTCGTTTTGGTCCCAATAGCCTGAGCACTCTTTATCGTAACTGAGTTGGACCGCGAAATAGAGCTCTTGTGGCTTCAGTGGACGGTTTGCGAAGAGAATCCATGTAAGACAAAGATGTAACCTATCGAGGTTCTCGCCGTCTCTCGTGAGAATCATCTCAAACAAGTCGTTTAATTCTGGTGGAATTTGTTTCAACCGATCACGCATCTTTTTGATCGAAATAGAGGTATTGGGGTATTCCCGATTGAGAATATCAAGAACCAACACGACCCAGAGAAAAATATTGGAAGACCTGTTGAGAATCTCTGATCGTAGTGAGAGAGCTTGAGCCGATTTCCCTAGCCTGAGTTTGGACTTGATGTAATACTCAATATCCTCTATATGACCTGGCTCAGCTTCAAGGACAACCTCGATACCCTTTGCTATTATGATCGTCGGGTAATGTCGACTTGAAAAGCACACCTGCAATCGGACTTGAGATTCTTGTGCACTCTCGCATAGCTCTTCAAAGAAGCACACCATGTCTGCGACCTGATTCTTATTGCATTCATCTAGTGCATCGACAAATACTGTTAGCGACCGATTACCGAGTTTTCGTACGGCATGTGCAAGTGTCTGCTTTAATGCTTTCTCGTTCCATCCATTTCGTTGTATAACTTTGGCACCATCTCTCGTCATCCACTCTAAACCTTTTTGTGCGTCTGGCACCTTCTCAAAAAGCTGGTGAAGAAGTGAACGATAAAGTCCCATTGTTGACTTCTCTTCTGCCGTACCTCGCGCGAGGAAGAAGAATGACAGTATGATTTGTAACGAATCTCCCTTTGCATTGGTCTTAACCCTTTCGAAAAGGAACTTCATGAGAGTTGATTTCCCGGTGCCAGGATGACCTTTGATCCAGAGAAAGCCGCCATGAGCTGGCTGCTGTGATACGTCGTTCCAGGATATATATTCGTCCTTGTTGAGAAACCAGCAGCAGGTTTTTCCTTGAGCTGCCGTTAGGTTCATTAGGCGCTCGTCAATCTTGTCGAAATAGAGCTGTTTTATCAATGACTTCTTCACCTCGGTGTCCATCATTTCTATTGCAGGAGTTTCTTCCCCCTTAATGTAGCATTGGCGCTTCCTAAGTTCATGTTCAGAGTCAGAGTCTTCCTCATCGAGTTTGCGTTTAGGCGAGAGGTCCATTAAGGGCATTTGAACCACTACGACAAGAGGTTAGATTAAGTGAACACAAGACAACAATTGATGCACCCACTATCTTTTGGTCGTATCTCTGCCAGGACTGCTCTTGCGTACGCAGCAGCCATTGCAGCGGCATACGGCTGCCACTCATCATTCTTATGTTCGTCTCCGTAGTCACAAACCCCTCGGATAACACCGACAGGGATTTGGTCCATCGTCCCAGCCGCCTCCATCTCGAGGCCAATGATGTTATATTTGTCTCTCAGTTCGTTCCGCTTTTGAGCGTTCTTCATCAATTTGTCGCCCGAGCCTATTGGCCCGTACCACACACGAATGCGCATCGAATCTGGCCTTCGCTCCCGTAAAACAGGACTTATAACTCCGCTCTCATTAACCTGATATAGCGTGTCTCGGCCTTGTCCCGGATCGGCAAAAGTGCCAACGGGGTGTTCTTTGTGTTCAATTCTCTTGTAGTGCTGTAAGACATCGTTTGAATCGTTCGGCGCCCTAAGTTTGATACTGCCAATGGCTGACCTGACCACCGTTGCTGTTTTCGCCAGCGCATGGCCAGCACGCAAAAGCTGAAATCCATCTGTGCCAGTCTCTTTACCGAGGTCATAGTCTATTAGACCAGCACTGTCGCCCACTGGTAACCCCACGAGAACATCGCCGAGACGAATATCCAGTGGTGGATTTCGTGAGAGGTTTGGGAGGCCCGCTGCGATGCCAACCAACAAGCCGAACCAAAGATTTGGGAAGAACTTTTTAACCTGGGTCGCGAGAGCAGCAGCAGATCGTGTTCCGTATACTTCTCCGGCCGGCAGCGTCGCAATAATGATGTTGTGTCCACACGCATCTCCAGCCTGAAAGACATAATCATCTCTGGGTGTCAGAGGAAATCGGCCGTGGTGTCGATTATCCAACAGATGCAACGCAGCCTGTGCCTCGATCTCCAGCGGCGCAATCCATGCCACAGTATAAAGTCTGGGATCCAACTCCGCCATTAGACTGAACGACTATTGATTGGCGGTAATATTCATATTATGTATCGGCGATCGAGTAGAAATGTAAATGGTCTTTGGACTCGCGATCTTCGCCGTTTTGGGTTTCCGCTTCACTCGTTGAACTGGGTAGGCTTAAGTCTGAAGTCGGGGACAAGCTTCAGGCTTACGATTTTCGCGCCGCCGAGCTGCGATGAAAGAGAGAAGGTGAAAAGAATGGATGAAGCAATGATTGATGCAAAGGAGTAGTGAGGCTGATTATTCCAGTGCATGTATGCACTGCGCCCACCTCAGCCACTCGGAATGCCCAAAAGCCCAACCAAATCGAATCTCTTGATGATTGGTTGGGCATATGCGCCTATCCCTAGGCATCACGGCTGTATCATTCAGCGGCTTACACGTCGGATAGTATGCCAATATTCCTAAATAGCCAAATTTTTCTTTGCAAAGAGGTCAATATGTTCTTTTGGTGGACATTTGTGTCGAGGATTTATATGACGGAGCGATTCGCCAGTATGTGAACGCCAAGTACAAGGACGCCCAACGATCAAGAAAAATGGATGCCTAAAGCAGATGTATTCTATCAAGACTAGGACAATTGATCTTGGATGGTCAACATAGGTACTCAAGCAGAGTCAAAAGCACCTAGATGTAGAATATTAAAACAGTCATCTCAAGAGATCATTCGTACGCATGCTTTCTCTTCATTTATGCAAAGGGACGGTCGGGATTTACACCCTCTTTGTCACCCTGGAGGGGAGGCCCATGTTGAGTAACGGCCTCTATCAATAACCAACGTTGAACTAATTAGCAACATCCAATTGAGTGAGGATAGTTGTTTCATCTCTCCTCTTCATCACACAATGATCAGTTGGCAGTTCGCGTCTTCAGAATGGCTGCCTTGAGTAGCGAGAGTTCAAGGCCTATCAAATCCAAGCGCTTCACTAGCTGGTGACGTAACGCTGTTTCAAGCCAGGCCGCATTGAAGCCCAAACATGAGTTTCCAATATTTCATCCAGCATTGTCAAAATAACAGAGACAAGATATTTTACTCTTTCAAACATCACAAATCTTTGTCACATCAAAACAATGGCGATAATCAGCACCCCCGACGTCTCCGATGACGAGTTTGCAATGGTCAATTCGACCACCTCCGACAGCCCTGCTCCAGTCTCTTACCAGACTCCCAAGGTCATCAGCCGTCTCCAGCCAAACCAACATCCTTCGAAAACAAATTCAGACAGTGCCGGCGATGCTGTTACCGAAAAGTCTTCTGCATCTCGCATTGATGGTTCCATTTTCGACTCACAGACAAAGGACGGCAGCCACACAGGGTTTTTCCAAGACAATGTTACAGGTTTGAAGAACAGCGTAAAATCGCTGTACAAGAAGTTCACCGGCAAAGATATCTTGATCGCTGTCATGGGGTACAGCCATGTCCGACTCCCATCTGTCAATTACATGGCTTACACTTTAATTTTAGGATGACAGGATCCGGAAAGACGACATTCATTGCCAATGCGACCGGGCGGACAGACCTAAAGATTGGTCATAATCTTACTTCATGTATGATCATCATACGGCTCAGCATCCTTTCAAACTTGGCTAACTAATTGTCACCAAAAGGCACACAAGAGATACAAATCATCGAGACTGTACTCGACGGCCGTACGGTCCGCTTTGTTGATACCCCGGGCTTCTCCGACACATATCTCTCGGATACCGAGGTCCTGGAAATGATCGCAGACTACCTATCGGCAGGGTACTCAAAGGAAATGCGCCTCTCGGGCATAATATATCTTCATCCGATCTCAGATAACCGTGTTACCCACCATGCGACTAAAAATCTCGACATGTTTCGAAAACTAACTGGGGAGAAGAACCTCAAGAATGTAATACTGGCAACCAGCATGTGGGACAAGGTTACCCCAGAGGAAGGCTTAAATCGCGAGTTGGAGCTCAAGAACAAATTCTGGAGCATATTCATAGCATTCGGCGCACAGTACTGTCGACAAAATACGTCGGCCAAGTCCGCTAAACAAATCGCATCCATGCTCATGGACAACGAGCCTTTTTACCTTGAGCTACAGGAGGAGATGGGAAAAGACAACAAGGCTCTCAAAGACACAGCAGCTGGGAGGGAGATTATGAGCCAACTCTCACTACTCAAGGAACAACAACAAAGAGAGCTTACTGAGATGAAGGAGATGCTTCTGCGGACCGCCGCTGAAGAGAACAAGGCTGCTTTGGCTGCACTCGAGGAGCACTATAAGAAGATGATGTACGGCATGGAAAAGACTATATCAGACGAGCGGCGGATGAACGAAGAGGCGGCCAGGTCAAGTGACGAGAAGATCAAGGAATTGACGGAGAGAATCCACAAGCTCGAGAAGAAAGGCTCATGTGTTGTCATGTAATTTATACGGACGAGGTCTATAGTATTGGCACCTGATATTTCGCCACAGTTGCATCAAAATTATAAAAAAAGCTCGTTTATATATGCTACCCACTTTCTTTTGTATCACCAAGTAGATTTCTGAAGCGTGCAAGCGCATCCTCTCGATACAGCGTAATGTCGTCCACCAGAAAGCCAAAGCGGTGCGTACTTAGGTATAGATGTTCTAGACAGTGCCGTCGCAGACTCCCTTGAGTTACACTAAGTCTCAACGCTTGCAACACATTCCACGACGGAATTTATACCACTATATGGGCCGTCGTTCTAGGGAGTTGGGTTGGTGCAATACTTCCTCATCCTTGTTGTAAGCGCCCTGCTACTCATGGGAGAAGACTACAGCAGATATATTCGGTACGTTAATGTACATATTTGGAATATTTAGTATCTGATCCATCTACCTTTATATTTGTTGAGTTGTCATGTGGATCTGTGTGACCACTCTCCTGGGCCAAGCCCACTTTCTGTTTGCTACTCTATGCAGCCAGCCTTTCCCTCCTACATAGACACAGAGAGTTTTGCACCTTTCAGCTTGTCAATATTTAAGCAGTTGCACCGGGCTTACCACTGCCACTATTATCCAAACTACCTTGCCGCCCATCACCCTCTACAACCACTTTCAGCCCTCAATTGACAGAGGATGTATCTTTTACTTGAAATCATCAATCGAATGACGATATTGCAGAGTACCGTCCTTACCTTTGGCCTCTGGGCCCTATATAAGTTTCTACAAGCAATCTACAACATAACCTTACACCCTCTTGCAGGTTTTCCTGGACCAGTATTGGCAGGTGCTTCATACTGGTATGAAGGCTACTTCGACTTGATCCTATGGGGTAGATATACCAGCGAAATAGCACGCATGCATGAGAAATACGGTAGCCTCGAACTGTCATGATGCTTGATGGATCCAAGCTAAAATCAGCCAGGTCCTATTGTGCGAATTAATCCTGATGAGCTTCATTGCAGCGACCCTCATTATATAGATGAGATATTTGCTATCGGAACTAGGAAAAGGAACAAACCAGCACATCAGTTGAGATCGTTAGGAGGGTATGTTTTCACCAATTTCCCATGAAAATGTCTGAGTTTGTCAATTGCTGATATACACTCTAGCGCCACATTCTCAACCTTTGGCACTGCAGATCATAATCTTCATAAAATACGACGAGCTTCTTTGACCAAGTTCTTCTCAAAACTTCGAATAACCAAATTAGAGCCAGAAGTTCACAAAGCTGTTCATCTTCTTTGTGAGAAGCTGCTTGGATTTGCGGATAAGAAAGAGCCATTTGACCTGACCTCGGCATATAGCTGCTTCACTTCTGATGTTATAGCTAAATACTGTTTCGGTGAAAACTTAGGATTTCTTCAACAAGATGGCATTGAGCCCAATTTCAGGAGGGCCATTTACTCAGTTCTCAACACAACCTACGTCTTTAGATTTATCCCTTGGGTCAAGCCACTGGCACTGACGGTTCCATAGTAAGGAAAGCTTGCGCTCAATGACTGGTGCCCTTTGCTGATTTTCTTGGTACAGTATAGCCAAATACCTTTCTGAAGATGTAAGAATGCTTGCAGAGACATTGAATGTATGTGGATCCTATTTACAAGAACGATTAGATCATGGATGCATATTAACACAGCAACTTCAGATCACCATACCAAAATGGATCAAAGAGACCAAAGTCGAGATGGACACTGGAATTATCAGAGAACAAGAGACGATATTTGCCTCTTTGTTTCAGTCAAATCTTCCAGATGAAGAAAAAACAGTCGCGCGCTTCGCCGGGGAGACTGCGGCGCTTTTCGGCGCAGGCACTGAGACAACAAGCTGGACGTTGGCGGTTATAACTTACTATCTTCTGACACGGCCTAAAATTCTCAAAAAACTTACCGAAGAGCTTCGAACTATTGTTAAGGATCCCAAATCACTTCCACCTTGGTCAACACTCGAAAAGTTGCCCTACCTAAACGCTGTGATGACCGAAGGACTGCGACTCTCTTATGGTGTGTCTGCTCGTACTGCACGAATCGCGACAGAAGAGGATCTTGTGTACCACGGCATGTGGACTCCAAAGGGTTCCAAAGCTTCTGGAACCCTGGACTATGTGATACCTCGGGGAATGGCAATTGGCATGATATCTGTCATTATGCATCATGATGAAGACATCTTTCCGGATTCACATAGCTTTATACCAGAAAGATGGCTCGTAAAAGGTAAACAAAGAAGAGATATGGAGCGTTCACTCTTCGTATTCGGCAAAGGAAGCCGGCAGTGCTTAGGAATGAAGTGAGAACCCTGAGTCCCTGACATCCGAACGTTACTATACACAGTTATTAACTTCATTCTCATAGTCTGGCGTATTGCGAGTTATACCTCGCTCTTACGGCACTCATATTCCAGGTATACCCACACATGCAACTCTATGAAACCACAGTCAAAGATGTCACGTATGACCATGATTTGTTGGTTCCAGTGGCAAAGGGTAATGGGGTAAAAGTTGTCATTACGTGAATGGGACGTGAATGGGTATCATAGAAGAGAGCGGAGGAGGAAATAAAATGGCAAGACGATACTTGGGCCTGAAGTCATTAAGATAGTGCAACTGGATCATTTTGGCTTTCGGAATTTGTTAAATATGGTTCTCTGTCTATCCTGCTTTGATGTAATCTCAACAGTCGCCTAAATAGTTGTTCAGATAGGAAGATATTCAAGCTGACGCTGCGTTGATCTAAATAGCCCTTGAGTAAACCCTTTTCCAGAATTCAGATGGTTAATTTTTGGTTTATTAAATAATCCGATAAATCATGCTTATTCAAGAAGGATTTAGTTGCCACTGCTTGACACCAGCCTGGGTAGAATAATGCAATGTAAGATAAGTAATGACATAAATTCCTATTTTCTTTTCTTACTGAGTGAGCGCATTTGCGTAAAACTCAACTAGCTTTGGCGCTGACTCTGTTAAATCATCGTACAAATCGAAGTGATTCTTTCCTTTGACAATGAACAATTCCTTGGGATCCTTTGCCCCCTCCACCGCCGTCTTGCTATAGTGCAGAGTTTCAGCCTCACTACCAGCAATCATTAACAAGGGCCGTGGTGAGATGAGATGCTGATAATTAAACGAGTCGTAGCCAATCATTAAATCGTAGCTCGATGGAGGAACCCTCTGATCGGATCGAGCATGGTTGCCGCGCTTTGTGCCATAGTATGAGGCAGCTGACTTAAAGAACGAAGGCGCATTTTCTGGCACTGCAGATGCTTCAGTTTCAAACATACGAGGTGCTTGAGCTTTGGTATCGTTGGCATGGGCAGTGCGCCAGTCTCCCGCGGCCTTGAGAGCGCCAGCGATGGCTTCAGGTGACTCTTTATTGTTACTTTCGTACAGACCACCATTGCGTGTCATCAAACCTACACAGGCAGCGCTGACTGTTCCAAGAGCCTTGATGCGAATGTCAGATTGTGCAGCATACGAGGTATATCCACCTGATGCGCAGATTCCTAGGACACCGATTCTCTCGGGGTCGACTTTGCCCTTCAAAGTAGTCAAGTACGTAACCGCAGCCTTATTATCCTCAACGCGTTGGTGGGGATCTTCTAGCCCACGGGGTTCGCCGCTGCTTTCACCCTGATAGCCAGCATCAAATGTCAAGGCGTAGAATCCCGCTGAGGATAGAGCTCGGGCATAGTCCGCTGAAGTCTGTTCTTTGACTCCCGTCATGGGATGGCTCACCACAATGGCAGCGCCTTTGCGGTTGGGGGATCCATCAGCTGGCTTATAGAGCTCTCCGCTGATGGTAAGCATGAATGATGGAAACTTGATCTTAATTGGTGAAGACATGGTGAAAAGTGGTTGGTCAATTGATAGGGTATTAATTGTAAAGGGTCGGATTTGCTAATAATGATGAGCAGTGGATGTAACTTACCGTTCGTTCATCTTAAATAGTTTGCCTATACGGGGTTATCGGGACGGGGGCGGCAAAGGGTTTCTTGGAGTTGGAGTTATTGTTCGCCCGAAAAGCGCAGATAACTTTCGGCCGGAGATATGCGAAATAAATTTCATAAGGGCGTTTGGAAAGGTTAGTCTTCGGCCGACAACTTTTCGGCACTTATAAGCTATAAGTTTCGGCTGAGAATCTTGGGGGTTTTCTAGTTAAAAAGAAATCTCGGCCGACAGCTTTTCGGTATCTGTAGCTTCACATTTCGGTCGAGAACTCTGGGGTTTTCGGTAATCAACACGTCACGAATCTCGTTTAACTCCGCGTGAATATCCCGGCAGTGATACTACGTATCTACTTTCCAGAATACTTCCTCTTTATTTGAACTAAAATTGTAGTCCAGAGAAAGGGAACCTGTTGATCTACAGTTGGTAGTTGAACGACTAAACTAAGAAGGCTTGCCTCCAAAAGGATTGCATTGGGGTGTTTTCAAATCAACCTTCTCAAAATCAGAAGCAGTTATCAGTATATATGCAGTTGTCACAATTGTCTTTCAGCTTCTTTGCCATTGCTGGCCACATATCTCCAACGTCAGCTTCTTGGGTGCTCTATTTTTTACTAAGATTGATACGGATAGACCCTAATAGGGAGGGGGCATGACAGAGGAAAGCTTGCTATGCAAATATACAAAACTTAGCGAAGATCAGAGTCAATGAGATGATAAATGGCGGAAATTAATCACCTGTTAACCTTCCATGGCCTCGGAGTTTCCGGGTTTAATGGTCAATAGGGCACGTTGTTGTCGCGGAGTTTGATGTTATTGAGTCATTGAAATATTATGATATTCGAGAATTGTCGGAGCGGGACCACTCATGGTTACGGTTTCCTCTTTCTAGTCAAGACCAGACCACCAAAGCTCATTATCAACAATGGATTGGACGGAGTATAGCATAGCCCGAACATGTTAGTTTCACTAACGCAGAGTCGAGTACATGAGTAATAATATACTCTGAAAATTCCAGGTCCACTAAAACAGGAGGCCGGGTAATTGAAACTGTTCTGTTGCACCCCATGAATATAAATTGTTTGTGTGCCCCCTCTCTCCATTGGTTTATCCTGAACAGTTCCAACCATATTCATTAACCATCTCAAAAGACAATCTTCAGTTATCAACATGGCACAAGTTTACGCCCCCGCTCCAGAGCCAAAAACCGAGCTTGGGGGGTATCCTCTCTTCTACGGCTGGCATCCGCGTGTCTCCTCTCCAACTAGGAGCAATGTCGATTGGTAATGCGTGGTGTAGCTTTATGGGCTCGACAGATAAAGAGCAATCTTTTAAGCTTCTTGATTATTTCTTTGAAGCCGGCGGCAACTTTATTGACACTGCAAATTGCTACCAAGATGATGAATCCGAGACATGGATCGGCGAGTGGATGTCGGCACGACAAAATCGTGACCAGGTGGTTATTGCTACGAAATATACTACCGATTATAAGTCATATGCTCTTGGCAAAGGGAGGACACCGAATTCCTCTGGCAATTCGCGACGAAGTATGCACATGAGTGTCCGCGATTCACTCCTCAAGCTGCAAACCGATTGGATCGATATCCTCTACGTCCATTGGTGGGACTTTACCTCCTCCATCAAAGAAATCATGGATAGCCTGCACATTCTCGTTGAGCAAGGCAAAGTCCTCTATTTAGGAGTGTCGGACACCCCTGCCTGGATCGTCAGTGCGGCCAACGAGTATGCGGCTGCGTTTGGCAAGACGCCGTTTAGCATTTATCAGGGCCGTTGGAATATTTTGTTGCGTGACTTTGAAAGGGAAATTATTCCAATGGCCCGTCACTACGGAATGGCTCTTGCACCATGGGATGTTCTTGGCGGAGGCAAGTTCCAAACGAGGAAGGCTTTGGAAGAGCGTGCGAAAAGGGGTGAAGGACTACGCTCTACACGCGACAATGAGCAAAGTGAAGACGAGAGGAAATTCAGCGAGGCGCTGGAGAAGGTTGCCAGAGAACATGGCATCGAGTCCATCACGGCAATTGCTCTCGCTTATGTACGAGCAAAAGCGACCCGTGTGTTTCCTATGGTTGGCGGCCGCAAGATTGAGCATCTTAAAAAAAACATTTAGGCTTTAAGCATCAAGCTGTCGCAGGAGCAGGTAGATTACCTGGAAAGCGTGAAGCCCTTCGAAATTGGATTCCCCAACAACTTCGTCGGGCCCGATCCTCATGTCACGGGTCATTTCACAGGGCTCGCTGCAGCAAGCGCAGCTCTTGCGGTTGAACAATCACCCAAACCAACGGGCCTTGCATGAGCAGGTTGTTATCGAATCGATACAGGAGGACCATTGCTCGGAGGGAGGTTTATGAAGGAGGCAAAATTGGCAGACTCTAGCAGCACACAAGTGGCACAGGCATATCGAGAGATAGGGGTTAATCGTGTATTACATGAAGCTTCAATCAGGTAGAGCAGTAGGGCACCACTTCGAAGCCTCGCATCGTCGTCCGAATTTAATGAAGCTGGCATGGCAGCTTCAAAGATATCGAGTGGGAAGAGGATGTATTAGGCGGCATTATCGAGTCGACAAAGCTTCCTATTGCTTCAGCAGTCTCTTGGGATATTCCGCAGATCATCTCCAGTAGTTGGTAGATTTTGTCAATAGTTTCATTTCCCCCGAGGATCACGGCCTCTTCCAAAGACACAATAATTTCTGCAAGCGACCGCGGATCCTGAATGCCTAATAGGGATTTCACCTCGTCAAAAACTGCCTCCGCATTACCCAAACCATCAGTCAAGATAGGGTTGAGGATGCCATCAGTCACGACAGCGCCGATGATCCCTTTAACACCCGCATCATGGGATGTCAGATAAATTCCGGTCGCGTCTTTTACAATAGCTAGGAGATCATCGAGAATTCCGTTATTATCCCTATGGATCTGATAGAATTGTAAGCATTGATTCGATTGTATTTATTCACTCATGTGGTATGATTTGTACTCACAACCGGGAGGGCAGTGCCCAAACTGATAAATAGAATAGAAGTCAAATAAAACGGCTTCATTTTGGCTTCTATATAAAGCGGATGGATATTCACAATCGTGCTTGTCTCTTTACGACGTAGATGTGGTTATGTTCTCACGAGTAGCCAGAATTATGGCATACTCACCAGAGGAATTACAGCATTTTATATTCAGAATGGCGATTACCTTAGATCTCTAGTGATTACTCCTTCTACTACACTGAGCAATTCAAGTTTAAGACATTTACTCTGGTGATTCCATTTTGAGACAAATCTGGCCTAATGAGGAGTGATGTTGCAAGGGGCTATACAATTGAAATGTCATCTGAGATATCTGGGCTCGCGGTAGATCATTAGCTGAAGGAGAAGGTCGGCGATATCTTGAAAATCTCGACGAGGCTGTGGCGATCGGTGCTGAAAATGACGATTTGCACATCTATTCCCTGTCCCGCGTATCACCCGCTATTCACTCATTCCGTTTCGGGGTCTGGATTCAATTCGTATACTGGATCAGCTCGTCTATCGCTTCGACCAAGGTGAAGGAAGCTTCATACGAGGCTCCTACTCTGTAGCTCTTATATCTTTTTCTTTAGCCTCCTTGATGAGCCGCACTGGCCTAATTGTTGAACTTTGGATACTCATCGGAATTTTCCAACCACCTTTTCGAGGATTTATGATCGAAAGAGGTTATAAATTTCACATATGAATTCTAGTATAGAGCTTGATAACCCTTAGAATCTGGACCCATCCCCCCCTTGTGCATGGACGTCCAAAAGTGAGGCGACGGCTGCTGACTATGCATGAATCCTTTGCTAGAAGAGATGATTGGATGGGTTTTGGTGTTACACAAAGTTTCAAGGTTACACACAGGTTCGAGATCATGCCACAAAGGCTGCCTGCCCGCCCTTTGTTCCATTGGTCAACATCTGCCAGTGATCACTGCGGGGTATCAACCTCAGATAAAAGCAACCTGAAGAGCTGTTGGCATCCTTGAGGCACCTTAAAAAAAAATATCATCATAAGCGACAACATCACATATTTGCTGCAAGGATGACTTCCATCACAAAGCTCCCCTGTGAGGTCATGACCTCAGTCATGCGAGAGCTAGGCAATATACGCTTCCTTCTGCCCTGTCTTCTCACCTGCCGCTATTTCTACGCGTGCTTCAAAGCAGATCTGAACCTTGCGGCCGACATCTTGGAGCAGCAACTCACCCCGGCTCTCGTGCCTTATGCAATCGCCGTGTTGGAAGCATCGCAACTCAATCCACGAACTGGACCTTTAGTCCTGGAGCTGCTCAAAACGTTCATCAAGGAACCGTCCAAGCTGAGAAGCCAGCTCAGAACGCTACCAGTCCCTCTCCTTGTGAAAATGGGCAAATTGCATGACCCAATCCAGAGTTTGGCGACTCAATTTGCTGACCACGCATGGGCTCATATCATCAATGACCAAGGATCACAGACGGATCGTAACATCTGCCTGTCACCGACGGAAAATTATCGCTTTTGCCGAGCTTTCTACAAATTCGAACTGTTTTGCAACCTCTTCCGCAGCACCATGCCGACTGGTTTCGTATCGGTCAGTGATGAAGAGAGAAGGTGGTTCTTTGCACAATACGCGCCATGGGAAAATGAACAGCTAGCCAGCGTTCATGACTTTCTCGAGCTCAAGTTTTCCGAAGGCAAGTTGCTGCGAGTCTCCGAGAAAAAAAATTTACATTCCTAATTCTTATTATAAGCTTCATATGACGTTCTTGCTCACGACATCGAGTTTGGCACGTTGGGAATCGACTATCTCACGGCTGGTGGCGATAATGGCTGGAGGCAGGTCTGGGTAAGTCGCAATCTACGCCAGTTTTCCCCCGTCATTACAGTTTCTCACGTATAAAACATCGCAGCTATCCCAAGGCATTGATTTCATCTACCGAATGATGAATGAGACCTCATACGATGCAAAAAGGGCACTATTAAAGTCTTCGTATGGTACCAGTAGCGCGTATCTCTATGATGCGCTCACATCCATACCCGAAGTTGACTTGAATGACGATACCCCACTCGCCGACTACACCGATGAAGATCTAGAGACCATGTTTCCAACTTCCGATGATGAAGACACCGACAAGGGTCCAGTTAAAGCGTTCCGAGTGGCCTACAGCAACTTGCCCCGTAGCATGTGGGCCATGCTCACAAAAAACTCTGGACTGAGGGAGCGGGCCTACGTGTTTTGGAGTTTGAATCGTCTCGAGAGATATGATCTATTGGAGCTCTTTAAAAATGCTCCAAAAGACTCTGAGCTTTTGAGAGCTGTGAATGGCTGGGGTGATATGTTCAAGTCGTTTGAAGAGCGTTCAAAGATCAAGCAGAGGGGTGGCTCGGGTTACTGGAGCAAAGACGACGAAAGCAGGATTGTGTGGCCGGCGAGGCAAGCTGGGGGATGTTTGAGGTAGGGATATATGAGGTTCATATTTTGAAGGCATACAGCTAAAGGAGCCAAGTATGAGCTTTTGGCAAAAAAGGGTCAACCTATTTTAAGCGTCTATTTCATATCTTAGCCAGAATGTAGTCAGTACGACTTTCATATCCATATCTTAGTCCAGCAGAGAGCATATAGATCCAGAGCATCTAAAGCAGTCTTCTCAAAGCATCATTTTGAGCGGTGAATAATACGACGACGGCAACCCTATCTTAGTAGCGTTAATGTAGATATACCACGCAAAATCTCTTGCTCTCCAGTATTTACATACAATTATATACGAGTATTTGCACGGCACTTACTGACCTTCTATTCAGCGCCGTATATTGCCGCAAAGTGCTCCCTTACACCGATGTACCCGCGTACAACCAAAACATCCTAGCCTCCATCTCCAAAGGTGAAACAAAGTTACCCAAGACATGGTACATGGCCATGAGGTTTAAGTCGTTGTTGGATGAGTTGTACGGCCTGAGGGTAGCCAAGTATCAGCTTCTCCTACGTTGGAGCGATGATGCCGGTGTGGTGTGGTGTGATGGTAGAAATCTCGCGATGGGTAGATTCCATTGTTCGGTAGATTGCACCGTTGTGGGCGTCCTTGTTCATACATCCTAAACGATCCCTTTTGTGCCTAAGTTTTGAACGTAAATGTTGCAGACATGTCCAGTGTAGCTTGTGAATGACTGCAATCCTATCTCCTCCAATCTCGGTCAAGGTTCATTGCGTACGAGTTCGTCAATCGTAAGAGCTTTGCCAATCGTAAAAGCTGGGCACATTCTTCTCAACCCTGTGCCCAGTTTTTCTCGCCATCACCGCCATTCGTAAGATGTCCTGAAAATTCTCTGACTGATTGAAAAAGTCGGTCTCCAAACTTTGCCATCAGGAATGATTGCACCTCTGGATTTCCGCCAGTTACGAATAATCCGCTTGAGCTACCCATGACCTTCAGTCCATGAAGGCTCGTCGCCCGAGACAATGCGACATATACCTGACCCTCTTCAAAGGCATGTGACAAGTCAACAATTACACGATCCAGCGTCATGCCTTGGCTTCTGTGAACGCTCATAGCCCAGCCTGGTAGAAGAGGAATTTGTGTTCGATGTAGCAGTGAATACGGCTCTTTGTCGCCAACAGAGTTAACAACACACGAGGGGTAAATGACACGCTTCACCCCATTGTGGAAGAGCACTCGAGGCCAAGCCTTTGCTAACCGTGGATCCCCTTGCTGTTGTTCCATGAACTGCTGTATCTGCTTCTCTCTAAGCTTTGCGTGGTCGCCGATGATGCGCTGATCAGAAGGAATGTATTCGGTATCCTTGCCCCTGTGTACTTTGGGAAGATTCATAGAGCTAAACCTTTCAAAGCCGCATATGATACCCTGGCTTCCGTTGACCAACCCTCCCTTTATATCGAGGTTTATCTGCAGTATCACGAGCATGCCCCCGCGCAGCGTGACATGAGGCTCCAGGCGTTGATCTCTGCACGCCACTAATGTTCCATCAGACAGACGATCATGATACTGAGGTAGCTGCGTATGCACCTCTTGCCTCGCAATAAACCCATCCAGAGCGTGGTATTCGAGCTTTGGCGTCTTCAGTCTATTGAAGTTTTCTCGGTTCACCATGGCAACCTCGTTTCTCGTGCACAGGAGTTTTGTGGCTTTTTGGACATCGCAAGGATGATTCATCAGTGTTTCGGTTTCTTGGGGTAGAAAGGGAATCCCAAGACGACATTTCTGAAGCATCCTGATAAAGTATTCGTCTTTCTGGCGATGAATCTCTTGCAAATTGACGTGAACGAAATCGGCTTCCTCCCAAGCTGTACTCCTAAAGGCCCATTTGTGTGTCTCTAGAAACGGCCCATGGCTGTCGGGGCAGTTGAACTCGGCTCCGTCGTCGTCGGCAATCATCTCTTGTCCACAGTGCATGCAGAACTCGAACGGCTTCACCGGGGGTAGCTGGCAGAAATCTCCTGTGACGATGACCTGTCTTCCCCCGAAGGCGGGAATGGTTTTCGCAACGGCGAAAGCATCCCTCCTGGGTCCGGGGGGTCTCGAGTCTCTCTCTTTCCGCCAGTCCTTCCAGGCAATCACGGCCTTCATGCAGATATTCATGCGTTCCAGATGATGATTCTCCACCATACTAATCTCATCGATGATGAGCACATCCGTGTCCTTCAACCGTTTCTCAATGTGCTTTCGGAATCCCTTGTTCAGAAGTGTATCGATGTCGAGTTTGTGATAGTCTGGCGTCCAACCCATGTATGACCAAGTCGACATGCCGCCGACCTGGAGCGCTGCCCGGCCTGTTGGTGCAACGACATGAACATTCTTCCCCATCATGTGCAGCAGGTTGATGGCGGCCTTGAGAACGGTAGACTTGCCGCACCCTGCCGAGCCCGTAAAGAAGACATTTCTCCCCGTTAGAATGAGTTCAATCAGGTCCTGCTGCTCCTTGCACAAAACGGGTCTGTCGGATGAAGGGATTGCGTTGGCGATGCTTGAAGGAGGCTCTTCAAAGTCTGGTGTTGATCCGAGTGTTGACTCGGGTGTCTGACCCGTCAAATCTATCAACGCAACCTCATTCATGTTGGTAATGCTCCCTCGTTATCTGAATCCTTCCGCTCAGGCTCAGAATCGGTGTGCGACGCGATTTAGCTGGAGTTACTCTATGCCAAACGGACTAATGCAGGGTTATGTAATCGCGATAAGCAAACAAAAGTCGCCGTTTGGCTATCGATGTTGTTAATTCACTGCCTGGTATTGTCTCTCATGAATTTGATCTGTCTATGAGACAACTGGAAATCTCGGGGCTGTCAAGAGGACGGTTGATTCTTTACGCAAGGCGCCTGGTGGTTTGACCATCCAGCCTTCTACAGACTGGAACTTTACTAGCCTAGCGTCGTTCAACCAACACCGCCAACCCGATGAAACAAATCCCACTATTGCAAAGAATGGTTTGCTTTGAAGTCTCCTATTCTTCTATTTCTGAAATATTGCAGAACTACTCGCCTGTTTCTTTTGGTACCAACTGAATTGGTTAGAGTGTTCAATGCTACTAATTCGCTTTGTCCTGCATCTGTATCTCAGTACATGTGCCTACCCTATGGAATTGTCAAATCATCAATAGGTATTAGCTTTTAACAACATGAGACAGTAATTGTGCTCATAAATTGCGGCTTTTAGAGGTCTGGCTGCCCCCGTTCATTGTTCTCGCAGTGTAGCCACGGTTGGACGAATTCTGAACACCACATTTTACAAGATATTGTCTTCTATCACTAACGAGGAGCATCTAATTAACGTATGACAGCAGCATAGATTCGCATCCCTGTATCAGCCCGTAGCATCGTCTCTGTTTCTGCCGCAATGAAAAAGATAAACCCGGTTTTGACAGCGAGCTCTTTCCCGTCCCCTCGAATGGTACCCTCCCCAGAAACCGCGATGGCTACAGTCGGGCCCTTGTGGTTCCAAATGAGTTCCTCCGTGCCAGCCGTCATCTCAATTCGGATCATGTCGAATTCGCTAATGGGAGGTTGATACACCAGAGTATGCCCACTGGCCCCATCCTTGCTTGGATTTGCTGGTAATCTGAGATTATCCACGCGAGTACTTGAATCGATTTTCAGAGTCTCAGAAAAGAGATCAATATTGTCGCGATCTGCAACGGGGCAAAGTCCACCACTGAGCATATTGTTAGAACGAGCCATGCACTCCACAATGTCCCCGGAAAGGTAACAATGAACACCGTCAGCCGGGATAAAGATTGCTTCACCGGGCTCCAAGACAAGATAATTCATGCACAAGATGGCAATCAGTAAGCCTGGATCTGTGGCGGAGTATTGGGATTGCAAGCGCCGAATCAACTCAAACATGGAGCTTGGGTAGCCGAGTTTCTCAATGTCCTCCTGAGACTGTCGTTTCAAATCCTCTTCAATATTTTGAACAGTTTGTTCGTCTGCTTTCAATATCCCGCGTACAACGCTTCGAAGAGTTTCCTCATTCCAAGAGTGTGATCCTTCAGGTATAAAGCGCCGCAGACTTGGGATATTGAATATCGCAGAAATTTGGCCCAGATCCCTCCAGCCAGCAAACAGTTCGAATTGCGACAGTGCCACCGCAATTTCTGGCTTGTGATTGGAGTCTGAGAACTTTTCGGGGTCTTTCTCATGAAGTTTAGCCGCAAGTGATTTATTTGGATGGATTTGCAGTGGCAGAGCTTTGCCTATCGAGAGGATCTGTGATGTTTAGGTTAGATCATGACTGTTGCCAGGGGACAAAATCCGGCATGCCTTTGGAAGAAATGGAAGATTATTCCCGAAATTCTCAATCGAGTATGCGCCAAGTAGTTTTTCTTTGTGTTCTTTTAATATTTCGGCAAGCGTTTGGCCGGTTTCCAAGTCTCTGCCAGGAAAGTCCGGATAGTCGCCAAACCACATCTCGGAGTAATATTCATCGTCATTTATAACGAAGTCAGTTCCGGGTGTCTTTTCGCAGAGCCTCGCTGCGAGTGAGTCGCGTCCTTTCTTTCCCCATGGATAATTATTGCAAGTTCCGCTTAATTGAAACAGTCGTGATTGACTCGCCATGTTGATTACTCCACTTAATCCAGGCGTATATAGTTGTGCTCAGATAATGATCGATAGAAAGTAGAAGAGTTCAAATAGGAATTTTGTATAAGACAAATGCCAATTCGGAGTACATGTGGCAGTTTTAGAGTTTTTGGTCGAAATGGCATGTTCTTTTATACAAATGCGAAGATGCGTCACTTTGACTGGGTCACGGTGAGATTGCAACATCATGATTACCTCACGACTGGATGCACGCCACAATTATAGGTGGATGCGGGACCACTATCTATCTGACTCTGATAAGTAGCAGCTTGTTTACAAATTATGGACTTGGCGAACATGTATATTTAATGAAATAGTGCAGATTAACCTGTTAATTCCATCTGATTGCGTAGCTCCATTGCAGAGTGACAAAAGAAAACTGGGCCATGGGAGATCATCTTGCTGCAGGTGTAGTAAAGCAAACTAAGTCATTCGGATGGAAACAAATTTTGCTTGTGATAGCCGAGGCCTATAGCGAGATGGATCAGCCTTATGGCAGCCTGGAAAGGATTATTACCGTCGCTGTCCAATTTTCATATAATTTGCCCCAAAGCGTGAGAAACGCCCAGTAGACTTTTGCGGCGCCCTTGGCCATGGCCATTCGCACCTTTCCCACTCACTAAATACATGCAATTGCCCACTCAACCAAGTATCAACCAGGGCATAAAATTGCATGCCATGATATGTTATTGTTAATATATTAACTGAACATTGTACAAAGACTGCAATATTGCAGCCATTATGACATAGCACCCAGATCTTTACGACCGGCCCCTCTTCCGCTTGTTACCCTCACTTACACCACCTTTCGACAAAATATCTTCAAGCTTCTGCTGTCCTTTCTCAACCGACTTCACTTTGGCCTTCTCGCTACCCAATACAGGTGGCAGCCCTTGAACACGCCTCTTGGCATCTTCCAACAGCTCGACCTCACGTTCACGCTGCCCCTTGACTGTAGGGATTGACCACGTATTTGACGCAGCGCCTCTATGCGCCAGTTTGTATTTTGATCCCTCAAGATTTGTCTCATATGTATTTGCATCTATTTTCCGGACGTGCTATATCAAGAATATTGTTTAGCTACTCTGCAAGCCTTTCGTCTTGATATGACCTTGTAACTCACCTGATGTGCAACAATTAACCAGTGGTACTCTGTTCCTACGGGCGCACCGCTTTTTTCAGGAGCCTTCTTCGCCCTCCTTTTGTTCGTCTTGTAGTCTATCTTCCACAAGTCTGGTTCCTCCTTGACTTCATGCCACACGCCGCCATCGTAGTTCCAGGTGTGAGATCCGCCGACCGCCATGCCAGAGTAGTACTGGCCGTTGAATGACTTGAGAGAATTGTAGCCGCCGGCGCCAAACGCATAAGCTCGACTGAGTCCGTCTTTGTTGGCCGGAATTTGTTCAGCCTCTGGAATTTCCTCTTCGTCAATCATAATGGGATCCCTCGGATCCATGGCTACGTCAACTTCGTCAATCGGTATCGTTTGATTTGCAGGGCTCTCCTGCTCATGTGAGGGACTTGAGCGAGTCCGTCTGATTGAAGACGACGATGCGCCTTCTACGGGATTGAGTCGTTTGGCTCGCTTCGTAGGTCGAGGCATGACACGAGATGATGGTTAAATTACTGGTAGATCTTTTGTTGTTTGGGTTGTGTAGCAACTGCTCAAGTTTATCATTCATTGAGGCATGCACTGCGGAGGTAGGCTTTGATGATCTATGAGTGACGTCGGTATTACCCAAATGTCTGGGCCACCGAAATAACGGCGGATCGTATCAATGTAAACTGTCTTGAGAGCTCCCGAAGAACAATACCCAGATTTGACATTACCCAACCATCGTGTATTCGCAGATGGCTATTTAACACATAATAGTACATATTGTAGACGAGAACATGCTCTCCGGGATGCAGAGAAAAAGATATTCTTGGGCTTGTCCAGCCCTGGAGATCAAGTCATCAGTTCGTCAATCTAATCTTGCCTAAGTCTTTTTGATGCTAGAGATAGATGAGCCTCCAGCAGTTATCTACCTCATCAATCCTCGTTCAGCCATTCACCACAGTCCCGCCATTGCAATGAATGGTCTGCCCACTGACACAAGAGCTATCCATCGAAGCAAGAAACACGACACAACTCGCGATTTCCGAGGGCTGGGCTGGTCGACCCATGGGACTGGTGAATTCTTTCTGCGCCTTTTCATTCATGGTTGCAGGGATCAACGGAGTCCACACTACGGTTCTCGTCAGCAAGTCTTCAACATTTCTGTGCATACATAGATGCTTACCTGGCCCTGGGGCGACAGCGTTGACTCTGATTCCCTTTCCAATATACTGGTTGCTCAATCCTCTTGTGAAGGAAATTATGGCTCCTTTGGTAGAGGTGTAATCCAGCAAGTCCGGTCGGCCAATGTACGCATTTATAGACGCGTTGTTGATGATAACGGCGCCACGCTTCATGTGCTTAAGAGCGTACTTGGCCATGTAAAAATAAGAGTGCATGTTGATGTTAAAGGTATGAACCCACTGGTCCTCTGGCAAATCAAGAATATCCTCAACCATCATTTGATCTAAACATGGAGTTAGCGCTTCACTCGGTCTTCGAGAACTTGATAACATACAAGCCGCATTATTAAAGAGAATGTCTATCCCGCCCATCTTTTCCAAGGAAAAGTCAATTGCCTTTTGGCAATTCTCCCTCTTGGCAAGATCTGTGGCGAATAGATGGCAGGTTCCCCCAAGAGACTCAACCTGTTTCTTAGTATCTTGAGCGTCCTTTTCTTCCTCGGGGAGGTAGACTATTGTCGACACAGCGCCTTCTTTCGCAAATAACACTGCGGTAGCTGCTCCTATGCCACTATCGCCGCCAGTTATGAGCGCTCTTTTACCATGAAGCTTATCCGCTGCTTTGTACGTTGTGCTTGTTCCACCTGCATCTGGGAGCTCCTCACGAGTGGGTTTAGGATCGGGCATGTCCCTATCCTTGCCCGGAAACTCCTGTTTTGAAACAGGGATATTTTTTTCTTTGACATTTTTGTGTTAGAACTGATGATTCAGGGTACGTTGGAAAGATATGCTGTACCATCTTTAAATTGCGATGTCATGGTTAAATGAGTTAGTGAGGATTCGGACTAATTGATACCAGCAAAGCGACCCAAAAATTGAATAGACGATATAAAGAAGTTGCGATATATCATTCATCTATGCTGCGAAAGATTTATAAAAATGGGTTCAAACTTTCCGTCAGCCTTGGCGATGACTCGCAGACTTCAGTTTGAATGATGCGAAGGTTTCGTCATGGAGTGGGTTCCGATTACGGGATGAGGCCAATGTTACAATTTTAAGCGATCAAATGACGTCTGTCATTGGATTTTCTATGGATTAATTTGATATGAACTTTTTATTTATTGATTGGCTCATGTGAATTTTTATGATATGTCAGAGAGAAGCCATTGTGTGCTCTGAGCGGCTGCGGTGCCTCAATCAGAGCAGTAACAGTCGCTCGCCTGTAGAAGTGTATGGAATGCTGTAGTTTCGTACACTTCATCCTTTCCAAATGTAAATAAATCTAATCAGTTCAGGAAAAGAAACTACAATATTGAGAACGATCACTGAGTACAAATCATCCATTGTAAATATTCTAAGCTGGCTTCCACTCGAAATGATGCGGACCTTTCGCTACGGGACCCGGGTCTTCGCCTGGCGCGTCCGGTTTATTGTATGAATGAGCCCCAAAGTAATCCATTTGCGCTTCCATAAACTTCGTTGGAAGCATCTTGCCTGTAGTATACTTGACGTACTCAAGAGTAGCAGAGAGGGCAGGCATATAGTGGTCGGCCGCAATCCCTTGAGAAACAATGTCCTTGAGTGCCGAGTAGTTTCGCTGCAACTCCGATCCGACGCAGTCGATCAGCTTAACGTTGGTGATTGTCTTGTCCTCTTTCAAAACCGGTTCAAGTAGATCAGCGATAAACTCGGACTGAATGATGCATCCTGCTCGCCATATCCGAATACATTCAGACAGGCTGATATCCCAATCTTCATCAATGGATGCCCGCGCAATCAGCTCCAGCCCTTGACAATAAGAAGCCAAGAAGGCGCAGTAAACAGCGCGGCGAAGACTCTCAATCATTTGATCGCGATCTTTGACATCTTGAATGGACTGTGGTTCGGAAATGGAAAGCTTTTCGGCGACCTTTAGACGCTCTTCACGGTTTCCTGAGGCAACCCGCAAGTAAAACCCGGCTGCAAGTGTTGGACAAGACACATGCCTCGTTGCAGATTCCATAATCGACCATGAGGGTGTTCCTTCTGTACAATCATCATCTTGTACAACCTTGTCGAGGACATCATCAAGGACGTAATCGTCAGTCAGCTTATCATTCGTCAATTTTCTTGTCTTGCAGATATCCGCAGCAATTTTAACCAGAAAGTTTGTACGCAATTCGCCTTCGCTGTTCCACGTTGTAAATAATTCACCAATTTGGTCGTAGTCGAGCCCCAGTCCGCGAGTTAGGAAACCCCAGGCTTCGCAGAGAGCAGAGAGCATGCCAACCTCGATACCATTATGGACCATCTTCACGAAGTGTCCTGAGCCTCCTGGTCCGATTTTCGACACGCAAGGTGCACCAGATTTAGGGTCTTTCGCTGCGTATCGCTCCAGAAGTGGCATGACTGCGTCCAATGCCGCATTATTTCCCCCAGGAGACATGCTTGGTCCATGTCGAGCGGACTGAAAACCGCCAGAAACCCCCATCCCGATCCAATCCACGCCGGCATCTTGGCACTCTCTTTGTCGTCTCTCAGTGTTTCGATAGTGTTCATTGCCACCGTCCAAGATTATATCGCCTTTGCGTAGCTCGGGCTTGATCTTCTTCAAAACTTCATCGGCTGGCGGGCCATGTGTAATAGAAAACAGGAACACTTTTCGGGCACCATCCTGACCCAAACTGGCGGTAAACTTTGATATATCGTGAAATCCACAAACTTTCCCAATAAGACCATCGGCCTGGTCCACCTGCTTCATGAAATTGTCGACATTCGCACTCTCAGCGTCCCAAATAGACACACCAAGGCCAAGCTCAGAAAAGGCGAATCCCATCATGGAGCCCATATTACCTGCACCGACAATGCCAATTTGCTTGATTTCCATAATTGCCTTTGGCTGAGCGCACAAGGCTGCTATTCAATGAGACTTATACCGCGGTGGTTAAGGTGAGAAAAGATGCACGAAGTCAAGAGTATCGTACAATGAAGAGCAATCCAAGACGATCCGTAAATGGCAATTGAATTGAATTGAAATGAATTGTAGAGCACAATTGCCACCTATATCTCGTTGAATCATAGTCGCGCTGTGCCGAATTGAATGACGCAATTGCTGCGACAACACTGCAAGCATCAGCATGAACGCTGGTAAATTACATCCCACAGTGAACAAAACTTACAATTTTATTAACACATGCTTCTTCTTGAAACACAGATCTAACAAAGTTCATCAGTATTTTATTTTAAAAGGAGTTTCGCAGTATCATCATGGGTATCGAATATCAAGGTCACAACATTCCCACGTCATTCGCATCTTGCAGCATCCCTCCCCACTTCAAAGCTAGTCTCCCTGAAAAATTGGAGGCCATTCGCAATGCTGGATTTGATGGAATAGAAATGTCGATGCCAGACATACTGTCATATGGCAGTCATATCGAGGGGAAGAAAATTCGGGAAGATGACTATGATACCCTGTCGGACGTGGCTGGGAAGATTCGTATCTTAACTGATCAACTTGGCCTTGAGATTCTCATGCTGCAGCCGTTTTCAAGATTTGAGGGATGGCAAAAGGAGACACACTCGCAGGAGAGAAGTGAAGCGTTTGCGCGCGCCAAAGGATGGATAAGAATTATGGAATCGTTGGGCACCGACATGTTGCAGGTTTGTCTGCTTCAAAGTTGTGTTTTCAAAATCCAGTAGTAGCTAATTTGATATAGGTTGGCTCATCCGATGCACAAGATATATCACCTTCCTTGGACGAACATGCTCAGGACCTGCAAGAGTTGGCAGACCTGCTCGGGGAGAAAGGCTTCCGGCTCGCCTACGAAAACTGGTGCTGGGCAACCTACGCTCCCACATGGAAAGACGTTTGGGAGATCTCACGCAAGGCTGATCGCAAAAACATTGGTCTCTGCTTGGACACCTTCCAATCAGCCGGCGGAGAATACGGCGATCCATCTACAGAATCAGGCTACATCGAAGACTTCAGTCCAGCCGAGCTTGACAGCCGATGGAAACATAGTTTGACCGAACTAGAGCACACTGTTCCTGGAGACAAGATATTCCTGCTTCAGATCTCTGATGCATACAAAATGAAGCCGCCTTTGCGCGACACAGAGGAGAGGCCGAGGTCTGTATGGAGTCATGATTATCGCCCACTACCCTTTAATGGAGGGTATTTGCCGATTCAAGACTTTCTGAAGTCTGTTTTGCGAACGGGTTTTCGGGGCTGGCTTTCTGTTGAAGTGTTTGATTCGAAGCCCAAGGAAGGATCGTCAATGGAGAGTTTTACAAAAGCTGCTATGGATTCTTTGACTCGTATGCTTGTTGCCACAATTGAGTGAGGAGGTCAGATATAGGCATGCATATACTCAAATGAAACAACTTGCTACTGTCAAAGTTTGACCGCAAGAAATGAATGACCCACGAACACGCCTATCGTATTGAGCATCCAACATTCGCAATTGTAGCGTGGGTACGACGAAGTACAAAAGCCAAAGGTCCCAGGCAAGTGCAGTAATGAGTGGGAGAGGTCATTGATACCCTACAATTTGATGTCGCGATATTGTATATGGACTAGTTCTGAGAAGAGTTTGGCTTCTTACATATATAGTTCCCATTCTAGTTCAGCTGGAGGCACTTCGGTAGCCGTGAAATTGACTGTACCTGCTTGCATTATGATTGTCGAGAGGATAAAATTACACATGTTTACGTTGTCTCTTTGACCAAGGGCCAATCAGAGGAGGTGAAATGTCCATCATCGCAAATAGATTCGTGCCCTTCCAACATTCAAAAAAGCAAGAAGCGGGTTTTATCGACTTATGAGCTTGATCGGCAGGGCGCGAGACTCTTGATAGAGAGAGACACACGTTTTGATGCAATCAATCTCAAGGTTACGTCTCCGACCCCCGCGTGAGGCTTTTCGTATTCATCAGATTCTGCTGTCTTTGTTTTCTTTTTCTTTCGCATCTTTTTGTTCGTTCGTAAATGTAGTTCTATTCTTCATTGATAGGTCGGCTGGACCAAGAAGCCGTAGATAAATAATAGATATAGTCTTGCTCCCTTGCCCGCTGACTGATTCCTTCAAACTCCGTAACGCCAGGTTCCCCCATTATTGCATGTAATCCATGTGCACGCCACTCTCTGGGCCCCGGAAAGAAAAAGAAAAGATCATTATCTTGCTCTCTTCTTCATCTCTTCATCTCCTCAGTCGCTCCCAGCAATGTGACACACACTACTGATGCCAGGGCAGCCAAGCTTCCCAAGATCAGCATCTGTACACCCTCCCAAATGCAGCGCATCCAACTACTCGAGGCATCTCCTCCCCTCAGCAGCCAGCTCTTGCCCGCACCAAAAGACATTAACGCCACCAGACACAAGGCAATGCTCCACCGGAGACCAAGACCGACAGTCGAAGCGAAAAAGTACGGCAGCAGAGGAATGGTGCCGCCGATAACGTAGCCTAGAGAGATGGATAGGCCCGAGGCGAGCGGCCAGACGGGCAGCTGATCAGCGCCACCCGGCGTCTCTTCGACTGAGAACACGACTCGCGAGGAATTCAGTTGGCGGACGACGTCGTACAAGCCCTCGGGACGATCTTTGAGAGTCGACACAATGTCCGTGACCATCCAACCAGGTAGAGCGAGGGGTTCCAGATGCCGTCTTACAAGCATCTCTTGTGCCTCCTTGTTCTTCTCGTCAATGCTCTCCCTCTCGCCTTCATAGCGAAGCATGCCCTTGAGCTCCTCCTCATCGCCATCCCGTTTCTCTGCCGTGGTAGAAGGCAACTCGTCTTTGGCGGAGAGATAGCCGCCAATGCCCATGCTAATGCTTCCCGCACAGAGTTCCGCCAGACCTGCGTAAATGACGGTGTCTGTTCGACCGAGAGAACTGAGGCCCGCGGTGAGGGCAAAGGGCACAGTTAGGCCATCTGAAAAGCCGAGTGTGAAGTCTGAGAGGAATCGGATGAGGAGGGGACTTCTTGATTTCGTCATGATGAAGAATTTGGTGTTTCGGCGCAGCTGCGATGATGGTTGGGAGAAGTGCGCTTTTGGAGAGAGTCTCAATGGAAGCCAGTGAGTCAAAGTCGAGGGAGGAGAGCGATAGTGAAGATTGAGAAAAGTGAATCAACCAGCCCAACGCGTCGAGGGAAGATCGGCCTGTCGATAGCCCATGACGACGTGACAGAGTGACATTCGGCTTATCGGTAAAGCTCTTGAACAGTTGCTAGCAGTACAGTAGTAGCTCATGTTAGTCCCTCACCAATAGTTCCCTTCATCTCCAGGCATTGGATCAGCTGTGAGCACGCGGTCTCTGGCCCCAAGGCTCAATCCGCTCCCTTGCCTTCTGCACGCACGTTACATCGCCTATCTGCCCACCCCATCCAGCCCACTCTCCCTTTCGGTCTGCAGCTGTGTCCAACACCAATCCCAGAGGGGATACCGAGCTGCCTCTCAAAGAGGCCCTGATTTGCCTCATGCCAGACAATAGTCCTCTGCATTTTCTGCCGTCCTTCCGTATCCCGGGCCAGGCACTCCGAACTGGTCCTCGCATGTTCTGCTCCAAGCAGATGCTCGACTTCGGCCCACGTGCGCCCTAACAGCGCCGGCTGCTTAAGAATGCGCAGACGCTGATTCGGGGGCGGAGAAAACCGACAAGATGCATAAGCCTCTTTTTTTTTCTCAGCAGGGGGTGCCTGGCATGAGTTAGTTAGGGTCCGTGGGGTGGCGCCGTAGACGAGAGATAGGCGGGGAGGTTGACAGGAGGGATCGAAGGATTTTCGTCTCTGCCTCGTTGCCTGTTTCTGCGATTTGGAATACCATGTCTTATATGAAATTGGTGGCGTTACGGCCAATTGGAGATTGGATAAGGAGAGAAAGAAAAAGCCAGAGATTCTGCCTATCAAGAACAGAAGAAACTAAGAAGATGCTGCATGATACAAGGAAGAACAGAGGAACTTTTCTTTCCTCAGGCGGTTGGTGAGCGGAAGAAAAGATAAAAATGGAGAGGCGGCTACCAAACTAGGAAGCTGGGACTTTTGGATGCCGGAGGTGGCGCCGCTGCACGAGCCGATGTCAGTCGACGTGCTTTAAGCAGAATTAGGCAGTAAGCCAAGGCGGGACAAGAGAGATCGTCATCACCGCTGTTTGTTTTGTTTTGTTTCTGTTTATCTGCTTCTACGGGTATGTTCACGAGACGATTCATGTGAGTCCGGATTGGCGCGTATGTACAATTCTTTTGTTCATTTTACCTAGGTCTTCTGAAACCTATCCTAGCAGGACAAGCATCCTCTCCCAAATTCACCAATTCCAATAATTCAAGTAGTTAAAAATTATATTATATTATCAAACGAGGTGAAAACCCAAGACCAACACTTAGTTGGTGGAGACGGGCTTGTATCCCTTGGGAGGGTTCAGGCCGTCGGGGAGCTCAATGGTGTCCTCGTAGTAGGTAGGAAGCTTGCTGTGCTTCCAGGTGTCCTTGATGGAGGGGAGGATGGTGCGGCCAGAGAAGCTGCGGTCCAGAGCCAGGTTGGGAGCAGGGTACTGGGCGTTGTTGCTGCCGCCCTCCTCGTTGAAGATACCGGCGTAAGAGGCGTTCCAGAAGTAGCTGTTGGCCAGCTTGGTGGAAGACCACTTGCGGAGGCGGTCGCCAGTCTGCTTGGCAACCAGGTCGAAGACGTTGGCACCGACGTCCCAGCGGCCCAGGGTGTGGAGGTTCCAGTTGGCCTCGACGGTGGCAATCTCGCTGTAGTGGTTGTAGAAGTTGTTGTCGGTGGTGCCGGCGAGGTGCTTGGGGAGGGCGTCGCCGAGCAGGATGGCGAGAATCTGGTTGCGCTGGGCGTAGGTCTCGTTCTCATCCCAGGTGAGCAGGACGAGGGTGTTGTCCATGAAGTTCTTGTTGTTGAGGAGGGGCTCGAGGAAAGCGCGGCACCACTGGCCAGCAACGCCGACGTTGGTGTCGTGGCCGTCAGAGGTCATGTTGGGGGTGATGAACATCCACTGGGGCAGCTTGTTCTCCTTGAGGTCCTTGTGGAACATGGAGCGGCTGGTGTCGATCATGGACAGGTTCTTGATCTGAGACAGGCGCTGCTCGTAGTGGGTGACACTGCTGGCCAGGATGGCGGGGTTGTGCTTGCGGACGTAGTCGTTGGCACCAGTCTTGGTGTTGACGTACTGGAAGCCCTCGTAGCCGGAGTAGGGCATGTCCTCCTGGTAGTGGCCCCAAGAGATGCCACGGTCCTCGAGCAGGTCGATGATGGTCGACACGTTGAAGTCGGTGGAGTGCAGGTCATCGTTCTGCATGCCAAAGTAGTCACCAGCAATGGCGGCCATGTAGTTGGGCTCGGAAGGGTGAGTGACACCATAGTAGTTGGTCAACTTGACACCCTTCTTGGCGAACCAGGTGAAGTTGGCTGTAAGACGCTGTTAGCATTTGTTGTTCCCATCTTCTTTTTTTTTTCAGAGAAGGTTCTCAACTTACGGTCACCATCAGCCTTGCTGTAGTCCTGGTTCTCAAAGTAAATGACGACGAAGCGGTCAAAGGCCTTGCCCTTGACGTGGCTGGTCGGGCTGGTGGTCTTGGCCGTGGCAGCAGCAGCGGCGACAGCAGCAGTGCCGGTGGCAGTGTACTGAGACTCCCATGCAGTCGTGGTCTTAGGAGGCTTGCAGTGGCTCTTGTCGACGGCGGCGGCAGAGGCCAGGCCGGCAGCTGCCAGCAGAGAGACAACCTTGGACAGCATCTTGAACGGGCTTTTTCCTTTTTCCTTTGGATCCTGGGGAAGAATGAATGAGCCTTGCTGGAGAGGAACAGAACAGACGGACGGAGGAAGCGAAGGGAGATGGCCGGGTTTAATACAATCGACCACAGCACAGTACGCCTTGTTCCGAGCCGAGACAGCAAGGCCAGTGATTAGCCTGCCGGGGTCCGGTCCTGTCCTCCGGCTGGGTTTGCTGCAATGTTACCCGATGTTATGTTGGAGCACGACCTATACTCGTACAGCTAGTATTACTCCATCCTTGGTAGTGGATGGATGGAGTACTCCATGCATGTAGGCAGAGACCTGGGTAGAGGTATCCAGTGTCTGTCTACGGAATAGCCACTCCCACTCCCACCTCTGTGAAGCTTAACCCGATTAAAGCTTCTGGCGCGAGAAGAACTGTCAGTGAAAGGCAACAGTCCAACTGGGGAATACCAAGGCCCTAACGGATAAAACGGCACACAATGGCCCTGGATCTCAATTGACATCGAGGCTGCAAAATCCACGATGCGATGCGCCTCTTGGCAGCGCTGTCTCCCCACGTGCGACTCCCCACGTGCGAGATGGCCGTTGAAGAAGAGACGAACAAGGGCGGACCTGCAGCTCAAGTCTGGTAGCTAGCGACCTTTAGTTGGGTGGGTTTGAAGTGTCATCAAGCCACCATCTTGCCGTACTGGCACTAACAATTAAGCCTCAAATCCATTGCTTGCAGGGTTCTTTTGGGGGGCCCCCAGCTTGAGCTTGCGTATGTTGTCGACTGATTGCTGAATCTGCGTGGCCAGCGACATGCCGCCTCGGTCAACGAATGAGTGAGTCCTGGTTACAAAGCGCGGCCTAGGCAGGAGCTGGACACGGAATTGAGCGAGCGAGCTGACAACTATTGTCTGTGTGGGTAATGAATTGCGCTTGCAGAAGCACGCACGGAATAATAGAACCCATCGAGCACATGTGTCGACTGGGTTCAGGGAAGAAGCGAGGCAACAAGTTTGCGTCTGAGGGGGGGAGAAGGCGGATATCGGAAGAGGACCGAGAGACGATGACATTAGTACTATCAAATTTGATCCATTATTAGGTTATAGGATGTTGTCAAGTTGAGAGTTGAGTATGAATCAACGCTTGTACAACAGCGGGAACTCGGTTGAGTGAGTTCCGAGTTTACAGCAGAATACAAGCGAGATAATCAAAAGCAATACACACATCACATAGACACGATTCAATCCACCTGACCGTTAACTACTGGTTCTACATACGCATAGCATCACACAACAGAGAAATCAATGACACTCAACTGATAGGCAAGGCTCCTGCAATTCCCCGAACGAGGCTATGTACCAATGATCTATGGATTTCAATCCCGTCTTTTCCATTGAGAACTTTTCGCCTTTCTAGCGCTTAGGTTCCATGTCAAACAACTTCCTCTAGCGGATCATCCCGCTGTCCAATCGCCGTTGCGCCCGCAAGCATGCCTCTCCCGAAACGCCTAAATGTTGTTCCATCCGCCACTCAGCAGTCAAATCCGGCTTCAATTGTCCCCGTCCAACACACAGACAAACGCCCATCTGGTCTCTTACAGCTCCTCCTCCCAGCTACTCCCTTTTCGACACCGGGCTGGCTGTTCGCTTCTTCCCACGCGGGCGCACTTTGGTGCCCTTCTCGACGTTGATTCTTCCTCGCGCCCCCAGCTCGTGCCTCTGAATCTCCGCTTGGATTGGTTTGATTTGGATTGTGTTGCCTCCGATTGGGCTGTCCATAGTCGCATTTTCTTTTCGAATTACTGCTCCACAAGCACAAGGCCGATATGTCAACTGGGAGCTAACTTCTTTTCACCAGTTGCATTCTTCGTACCTGAATGAATGAGCAAGCTCTGATTGTCCAAGTCGAGACGACAGAGCTCACCTGATAGGGACCCGGTCTCGGAGCTTGCCGTACCGTACCATGACAATACCGGCCGTGACGGTTCTCAACCCTCTAGAGCTTCGCCGGTGAGTGAGTGCAATGGATGCTGTTGGAGCGCATCAACGAGGAGACTCGACTGGCGCTTTTCATGACGAAGCTCGTCAAGAGCTCGGTGAGGAGCAGCCCTTCATTCGCACATCACACCGCTCGTCAGGGTTTCGCCCTTCTCGACGTCAACGCCGCCCTCTGCCTGCCTGGAAGCTATGCCTCTTTTTCTTCATCGTCACAGTCTCTATACTGGCGCTGGCCGCCGTCCCCTTCAGTCAATCGCTTTCTAGAGAATCTCCGTCTGATTCAGCGCCTGAAGTTGACGGCGATGATCACTCTCCAGGAGAACATCCTGGGGAAGATGAAACTGACCATCATGAGGAAGAAGAGTCTGAGCCTGCTGCTGGAGATGGGGACAAGAGTAGTTCCAAACCACTGATTGTCCACTATGAAGAAGAGATGCCCAGTATCCCCAAGCTAAGAGATGTGTCAGAGTACGTCTTGTCACCTTCCTGGGACTTTGACGCCGCTCCCACCACTAGAGAATACCACTGGACAATTGTAGATGGACGCCTGAACCCTGATGGCATCTATCGCCCAATGATTCTCATCAACAACCAGTTCCCCGGCCCTTTGGTTGAATGCAACGAAGGCGACACCATCCGAGTCATTGTGGAGAACAAAGCCATCAATGCTACTTCGATGCACTTTCACGGCCTCTTCCAAAACGGCACAAATTCCATGGATGGCGCCGTTGGAATCACACAATGCCCAATTGCCCCCAACTCAACCTTCACCTACGAGTTCGAGATCAAAGAGCAGTCCGGCACCTACTGGTATCATGCCCACCATAGTGCCCAAGCATCTGATGGCCTCCTTGGCCCCGTCGTCATTCACTGCAAAGATGAGAGGACTACTCTGCAGAAGCTGGAATATGCTTCGGACAGAATCATCATGGTCCAAGACCATTATCACAATCTCACCTCGGAGCTCTTGATGGATTATCTCAAAAACGACATGGAGAACAATGAGCCCGTCCCAGACAACGGTCTCATCAACGGCCGTGGCGTGCGTGACTGTAAAGATTTCCAAGGCTGGGATTGCGATGCCGCAAACGTTTCGACCTCAGTTCTTGATCTTGCTGCTGGTCAACGCCACCGGCTACGCATCATTAACGTCGGTGCCTTTGCCGAGTTCCAGATCCAGTTTGATGAACATCCATTCTACGTCACCGAGGTCGATGGCACCGACGTGTTCCCCGAACCGTTTCATCGTCTCAACATTCTCCCAGCGCAGCGGTACAGCGTCATCCTTGAAACCAACGTCACCACCGCCGATACCTTCTGGATGAGAGCCCGAATGGTGACACACTGCTTCACCACCAAAAACCCCCGTTTACAGCCCGAGATGCGAGCTATATTACACTACGGCTCTCCCGAAGTTAAAGCCTTGGACAAGGAGCCTACAAGCAAAGACTGGCCCGAAGCCATCGAAGTCATATGTCGTGATCTCAACGTCTCCGCCCTCCACCCAGTCATCCCCATGACCCCCCCTCCCGCAGACAAATACATGCGCTTCGACGCAAGCTTCATGATCGGCGACTGGCGTCTCGCCCGCGGCTTCTTCAACCAATCCACCTGGCACCACAACGTCACCTCCCCATCCCTCCACCGCTTCCTCTCCGCATCATCTACCAACGCCACCACTCTCAAATCACCCATTGCCGTCAACAACATGGCCTTTGACTACAAAAAAGAACTCGTCATCCAAACAGAGGGCATCCGCACCATCGACCTCGCCATCAACAACTTCGACGACGGCAACCACCCGTTCCACCTCCACGGCCATAAATTCTTCGTCCTCTACCAAGGCCGCGGTGGGTACCCTCCCTACGAGGCCGATTTCCCCGATTTCGTCAAGGAGCACAACCTAGACGATAATCCCGTCCGAAGAGACACCGTCACCGTGGAAGGATACAGCTGGGCCGTCATCCGCATCGTGCTCGATAACCCGGGCATGTGGGCGTTTCACTGCCACAACATGTGGCACGCTGAGTCGGGCATGTTGATGCAGCTGCTTGTAAGGAGCGATGTAGTTCGAGGCTGGACTGTGAGCGATCAGGAGAAGAAAATGTGCGGCCTTGAAGGCGTTACGACGGGTATGAGACCGGATGACAGCATCTGGTTTGGCAACTTTGGCAAGACATGATGACTTGTTTTAAGAGAAGGATTCACGAGAATATGAGCTTCATAATAGATGGCATCGCAACGAGAAGCGATGAAAATACACTAATCACCATATATATATAATATGCCAGATCTATTTATGTATACCTAGAATGTCCCAACAAGGGTATTAAACACTAAGAAAAAAGAGAGAGAAAAAAAACATATGACAAAAAAATAAGGAGAATTTTAAAGGAAAATATTTTGCCCACAAAAGTATTCGGAGCAGTATTCTTTGTTGTTTTGTTTTGGTTTTTTTCTTTTTTGGAGTATGAATCAGAAGAGTCTGATGCAGGCTATATAGAGCCAACCCATCTATTAACCCATCCCATCCCATTCCCGCGCCCCAATCCCGAGGAACGCTGAGCAACAAAAAGCTCAGCTCTTCCTGTCTAATTTGTGGTGGAAACAAACAAAAAAAAAAGTCTATCTTCGTTCATTCTTCAGTTTCCCCCACTTTCCACCCTATAGCCCAGCTGAACTTGAGTTCCACTAGGAACAATAGTTCAGTGTGCTGTACTACATGCCAATCTCTCTCCTCACTTATCGAGAGATGGCCCTCCACACCTTGTATCCCCAAGGGGGATAACATATAGAACAATACATTGCAGCCAGAATGAATCAGACTAATACAATAAATTGCATGTAAAACGCCTGTGCCCTGATGTGGCTGAAGAGAGAAATAATGAGCCGCCAACAAAGGAAATTAATGCAACAAAAAAAATCGATAGCGAGCAGAGAGAATGCCTAACCCCCTTGCCTTGGCCGTGGTCCCACAATGTCGCAACGCCATGAAAACAAAAAGGGAAAAAGGAAAAAGATGAGAGAGAAGGGGGAACTTTTCGGTCGAGTGCAAAGACTTGCCATGTTAGCTGGGGATGAGATCCCATGAAATGTTCCTTTCAAAGCAGCATGGCGCCGATATACCAGTGGTAAATGCTGGCTGTATCAGGCCACCGAGATGGAAATAACATGTGGAGGTAGACGTTTATTTTTCACAGAGATGATACAAGATATCATGGTGGTCGGTTCTGTTTAGTTGAGGTATGATGATTTCGTGCATATCGGTTATACTCTTCGAGCAATATTTACTCCAGGGTTGACAAAGGCTCGAGACGCAATGTCGCTGAACCGACGCACCACGTTTGTTGTTCCACCGGTGACTTGGGATTCATCCAGAATGAATTTGGACGCAACGGCCAGTCTGTTCTTTGGGTCTGATTCGTCCAAATGCTGCGGAATCGTGGCTGCATATCCGGAGTCAAAGTTTGGCGCCAGTTCGCGGACAACAGCTATGGAGTAGAGGACATCGCGATTCTCTCGTCCGTCAAGAAGGTGGCGCATGCGGCTCAGAACGTCCTCCCTAATCTTGACAGTCGAAGGCGAGTTGGGATTGTCCCTCCTGCGAACGAATTCGGCCAGGCTATACCAAAAGTCGAACTGGCGCACACGGTGGTGGTCTGGGTCTGCCACTGGAGGCGCGAGAGGGTTGCTTTGCAACTCATCACCACAGAGCAAAGCCTCAACTACCAGGAGGCGATTTTTAGCTTCAATGGGGTCGTTGTCTGGCGGCAGGCTAAGGCGCATGGAATTGTTCGCCCTGTCGGGGATTTGGTATGCCGTACAAGCCAACTCCCACACAATTCTGGTTTCTAGAACCCCTGAATAAGCCATCTGGGTGTGATCATTGGCTTTGACGGCCTCGAGGATTTTGAGAAAAGTTGCCATGTGCTCGATGAGGTTGGCATCTTTGGGAAATGTCATTTTGCCGTTGTCGGTAAAGTAGTACCAGCTCGTCTCGAAGAAGGCACTGAGCCCGCTGGCATACATTTCATGGTAGACCTTTGTGATTTCATTAAAAGTTTCTTCCGTGTGACTAATCTGCTGAACCGGTGCGGGGGGGCCAAGCAGATCGATAATCTCGTCGATTTTCATCTTCTTGGCTGGAAAAATGCCATCCGGGTTAGCATTTTAGATTGCCTTTTATGATCACCGAGAGGAATGAGAGAAAGAAACCAGAAAAGCAAAGATTGGGGGATAGACTTGGGACTCACCTCGTAAATAGCTGTTATCGGGGCCCGATAGCGACATTTGGTTGGCAGGCATGGCAGACATGGTGCGTACGGCGGGATCGATGCCTGAAGCAGAGTAGCCGTAGCCAAGTTCAGGCTTCACAGAGACAGAGAGAGAAGGATTGTAGGTGCTTGGTGGGATCGACGGGGTGCCGGGGTTCGAGCTTGTCGCATAGCCGCTCGGCAGCATCGGCGATTGGCTGCCGTACGAGTTGACCAGACGCGGTGTAGGAGGACCAACCGCCGACCCGGACTGGACAGAAGCAATGCCCGACGGCTCGGGCTGTGAGAGGCTGTTGGACACGGGCTGGACGCTGCTGCTGGTGGGGGTTCCGGGCTGCTGTCGGAAGATGGGATCGTAGCCCAGGCACTCGCGCTTCGATTTCCTGCAGTTGTTGCAGGTGGGATGCGTCTCGTCGCACTGCAAGGACAGATGGATGTCAATGGCAAGATTCTAGGTGGGGCGCATAGATGCAGAGATGCAGAAAGCGGCTAGCTAGCAAAAAAAGTGACGATGATGCAAAAAGGGAGGGATGAGAGTGAGAGCGAGGGCAAATTGAAGGCGAAGCTAGGGGCGGTGTGGCTAAAGAGCGGAGAAGTCAATGTCTTGAGTGCAAGACAATGGAGGGAAGAAGTTTTGCAATTGGCGCGAATGTGCCAAGTCTCACGCTCGCGTTGGTTTATACTGTAGCGGCGCGCCACGAGTTTCAAGGCAGCTCAGCTCTCAGCAAGCTTCAGCTGCCGAGGGGCCGCTTTTTTTTTCTGGCTTTGCTCCATCCCACGCGTAATACGAACAGAACACTGGCTTCAGCCATTGAGAAAAGTAGAGGCGAGGAAAAGGGGAATAGAATAAAAATGAAGGCATTATTTGGAGGAGGAATAAAAATAGGTAGAATGGGCAAGCAATTGTAGTGGTGAAGAGCTTCTTGAAAGGGTAATTGGATGTCCATATGCGCACCTTGATTCGTCGTTTGCGGCACGTTAAGCAGCCCGTCTTGGTTCGTCGCTTGATCTCCTATATGCCACAATCGTCAGCCCTGGCGCAGAAAACGACCAATTGGCTCCCCTAGAGAAGGAAACGACGAAGAGAGCCGCAACCTGCTCAAAACATACCTTCTTGGGGCCTCGGTGGTTGATGAGCCGAGGATCGTGCGGGAGAGGATACCGAGCCAAGGCGTCCTGGGGGAAGCCGTAGTTGGAAGGGAGAGGCGCTGAATGGCTTGTGAAGTAAGGAGGGGTCGAGACGGCAGTAAGGGGCATGTTCATGCCCATGGACATGGAATGGTGCGGCATTGGAGGGACAGATTGCTGTGACATGGCGTCGATGGTGCGCATGCTGGGCAGTGACATTTGCGGAGTGCCCACGGGACTGACGCGGTATGCATCGCCCTGCTGAGCTGCAGCTGTGACTGTGGAATATGAGGCGTACTGAGTGGTCGGGAGGCTGGTCTGGGGATAGATGGGCGACGAGGAGCTTGTGGGATAGCCTGCGTGCATGCCGTGGAGGGCCGCTCGGTGGCTCGCCATGTCGGCCTCGGACACGGGGGTTGTGGTATTGGTCTCGGACGCCCGACTGTCGCCGTTTTGCTGCTGAGGGGGCGGCTGCGGCTGCGACTCTGGTTGCGATTGCGGTTGAGGTTCAGATTGCGGCTCGTGATGTTGCTCCTCTTCCTGCGGTGGCTTCTGCTGTTCCTCCTGCTGCTGCTCGTCCTTGAGCTGCTGCGATTGCTGCTCTTCCGTGGGCACCTGCGGAGGCGGCGCAGGGGCGGCGACAGTGGGATTCGAGTCTGAAGAGGTGGATTGTGTGATTGTGACTTGAGGCTTGGGAGAAGCCTCTCTTGTGAGAGAAGCAGGTTCAGGTCGAGGAGCAGAGTCGGAGACAACAACGACAGAAGTCTTGTCGTCTCCCGAATCGTCTGGAACCATTTTCTAGTCTGTTGTAATTCCAATTTTATGGAGCGACATGAAATAGCGTTTACCGCGACAGGGGACGCACCCCGGCCCGTCCAAGCGACAGGAGAGGGAGGGCTGGGCTGGATTGCTCTAGTCGCGGAGGAAGAGATTGTTGTGATGTGCAGGCAAAAAGAGGCGCGGATGGATGCAAAAATGATGGTCTGGAGCATCAACAGGCAGGGCGGCCCGTTACAGGCAAGGTACTTGCCATAGTGGTATTGGTACAGGTACAGGCGCTTGTGCAGTCAGGAGTGCCAATTGCAGCGCAGGCTTCAACTCGCAGCAAGTACAAGTACAGGTACTAACTGCAGCGGCGCGCATGCACCTTGGCCCACTGACTAGCGGTCGGTACCTGTCCTTTGGCACCTGGGCACCTGAGCTCCAAGTACAGGTACAGGTACAGGTACACCAGATCACAAGCACTTCTTCCAATTGACTGCTGGCGGTCGGCGGTCGGCGGCAGGGCCCCCCAGCTAGGCTTATTATTCGGCTAGCGCAAGCTCCTGGCCAACTCCCGGAAGCTGCTCCGTGCAAGACAAGATGAACAGAATGGAGCGCTGAAAGGCGGTAATCTCAATTCTTCAGCAGACGGTGATGAACAAAGCACAGCTGATTAGATTGTGCTACACGAGAGACGAAGGTACAGATACGACCCAGTATGTTGGTACAAAGGGCATAAGTACCTCTCTAGTATCTGCAGTATCTGGACAATATAGAACTCTCAAGAGCTGCTAACTGCATCTGGTAGGGAGTTGAGTACCTACCTCGAGCTGCTTGGAGCAAACCTACCGCAATGCATCTTCGCCCAAACATCATTGGCAAAGCAAAACCCGCGGGATGCAGCCGCAGACGCAGCACATGTCCATTCAATCAATCAACTATCGACAGAGACCAGCGCAGCAGGGCACCAGCACCACTTGCACCGACGAATATTGATTCATCAGTCTCAGCGTGCATGCGCGTACATGTACAGCTTGCTTGTCTAGTGCCGTGGCTGCTTCGTGCTAAGATGCGGAACGATACCCCTACATAACGGGGTAGCACTGCTGGAATACGCGAGTCCTGCTGGCTGCTGGCTGCGACAAGTACATACTAACAAGCAGGTACTACTGCGAGGACTCGTATCTTAGTGCTTCAGTATGCATGCACGCGCGCAATGCCGGTTCGCTGTCTTGATGTTAGCTGCTACTTACCCAGAACCTTGCTTGGAGCTCCGTATTGGGAGGGATGCTTGTCTGTGATGGAGTGCCCGGTAGGGCGGCTCGGACGACGGACCCGGTCCAATCGATTCTCGGCAACCCTGGAGATCTATTGGATTCGCCCTCACTGCCACCACACCACACACACGAAGTGCCTGTGCCTGTACGGCAGTCTGGAGGCTCTCTTTCAAGCTGATGCTACAGGTAGGGTTGCGTGTTGGCATCCACGACACGACGCCTTGGTACTGACTGAAACTCCCTGGACTGGTGCTAGGTGGAATGGGATGAAATAGCTTAAGTTACTCGTCACTTTTTATCGTCAACCAGTCATTGAGCAGCTGTACGGAGCAGCAGCAGCAGCAGCAGCAGCGATCCCATGGAAAGCTTCCCGTCTGCTGCTTGCTTCAGGGGTTGTCGTTGAGGGGATGTTGAGGAGACGTTGAGGAGAAGACACGACACGTGCCACCTATTAGGTAAGACTTCAGGTAGGTCTGTATCCCGATAGCGATACGGCATGGTTCAGGTTTCTTCTCGGCCAAACTGCCTAGTCACGGGCTGGATATCTTGGCTGCTCCCATGCTCGTACATACAAACTCTACCGATTCCGCTCTCTCCTCTCTCAGCTCCTTAGAGTCTAGAGCTGAGCTGGACATGGAGAGCTCACGAGCACTTGGAGGCGCTTGTAGGGAGCCTGCATCGCTAGCACCAGGCACGCTGGACACCGCTGAGACAGGTGGGCTTCTTCCCGTCCATCTCCATCTTGTTTACTCTCGCGAACCAGCATTCGGCTATGCTAGTACTATTGCTGCTAGCAGAACGGTCCACTCTCCGCCAACGCTACAGTATGTTGTCTCAGACGTGGAACCTCTTGGTCCAACAGCCGCCTCTTTCACGGCCAGCCAGCAGCCAGAGACGGCCGATAACGCCTACCTAACTTGTGGATAAGATCGATGGAGATGCAGATTGGCGAGCGATAAAATACGAGTGGCAGAAGGGACTGGCCGGCCAAGATACGAGTAACACTGGTCATTTATCGTACTACCTGCCTACGTGTGTGCTGGGCAGCATCAGCAAATCGACAAAGCATGGCTTGGTGAACAAGGATGCCTGTGTACGATACACTCCAGCCTCCCAATCCCAGCTCTCCTCTCTTTGATGGATCCAATTGCTTGTATGCCGAAAATAGATGCCTACACAGGCGATGATGCAGCGGACAGGACAGCGTGCGTACGATGCTAGAGGCTGGCCATCATGACCAACAATACAATCCCGACTACTTACAGTATGCTAGCACCACCATCGTGGCATCTGAAGCTGCCTCGGTACCTGTACTCGTACTACCACTTCGTACTACGGCTTCACACCACACAAGTGCTAAAACACCGCTACTCCGCAATAGTCTTCGGATACCTTGGGCCGGCTCGACGGAAGGTAGCGTGGAACCAGGGGGGCAGGTCACAAACGGTGAGAGCTGCATTGTGCTGCATGTGAGCACTGGCTTTGTGTATGCATACTGCACATACGAGTCCTGCTCCTACATGTATGCTACATGTATGCCCCCCTCGGGGGCTCACCGATTCGTAGCCATTCGAGGGGCAGCGAGCTGGCATCCAGATCGATGCTGCAGCGTCTGGCCTTGAATATCCCCGAGACAATGCCTGCAACGGCGCTGGGGGACCAATCGCACTCTGCTCGCTACCTAGCTTCAACCGCCTAGCCCGTGCCCGCATCTCATCCGAGTCTCGATGGGACAGGCGAGACAATCGAGCCGCCTGCCTTTTGAGAGAACGAGAGAGAGCGAGCGAGAAAAAGGAGCTCACCGAACCTTCAAAGAAACCTTGTTGCCGCCTCTACTCATTGGCCTGCGCCCACACCCCCGGACATGTGCCCGCCAATATACTTTCTTTTGTTCTTTGTAGTTATACATCCGGAGCTCATTCACGGAGTTGGCACCGGCGGATCTCCCTGCCTCATGCAGCCATCTCCCGTGGCCCTCCGTACGGAGTACATGGAGCGACTATCTGCTCTCTGCAGAATGCAGTACGACTTCGACTGTAAGTCCCGGGGCTCATTTTGGGGAACCCACCGGATGCGGAGCCATAGCTTGACACCGACTAATGTCTTGTTAGCAACCCCAATTCATTACGGAGCGCATCCAAGTACACATGATAGGCTGGCGCCAAATGCTGAAATATACAGGTAGCCCAAGGGAGAGAGGAGATGAGCCCTTAGCTGAGCAAACCTGGCCCTGGGCGGTGCAATTTCATTAGCGGCCCAGCAGCCAGCCACCGGCTTGGATTAAGTTCCTTTCACATGATGGGGATCTGAATGCCTGGGGGGAAGGGAAGGGGGTAAAGGGAAGTTGGAATAAGAAAAAAGCAAAGAAAAATGAGCTGACAATGATGGCAGTAATACACACTAACCTCCCAAAACAGAAGCAAATCGACCAGGGCGCTAAGCAACGGCTGCTTCCTTGGCGAAGCGAAAGGCGAAAGGGGAGCATCAGCCACATGGACAGACAGACAGACAGACAGACAGCCAGCCGCAAGCCGCGCTGCTGCAAGTTGCTCCGCACTCTCTCAACCCTCATCACAGGTCATATACGAGCAGTACATATGTCCGTGATGCACTCGTATATGTGCAAGTCGATAGTCTCTCACGGAGTCCTGCTTACCATTGGCGCCAGTGTCATGCTGGCAGCTTCATTCGTGGACATATACATGAAAATGGAAATGGAGGAGCTTGACCACCGCCTGGGCACCACCTGAGCACCACAAGTCGCTCCGTCTACGCGTCGCCAAGAGGATTCGCCTCCGCCTGGCTCCCAGCGAGAGCCTTGGCAAGCCATCAAAGGGGACGACAGCCGTTGCAAGCAGCTCCTGGTAGCGGCCGATGAACCTGGTGATGCTCACCCGGGGGGCTTCCCAAAAAGCGCTGCGACGCCTGCATTCGAGCTCAGGAGCCACTACGCCCAAAAAACCATCACTCTGACCGTATCATCTGGCTTCAGGCGTTTTGCTTCGTACAGCGGAACATGGAATGCCATCCCGTCACTGCTGCAGGGATCCAGGCGGCTGAGAGGGGTGCTGCAACCGCCAGCATCCGCGGGTCAAGATAGACGTGGTAATGCTACGTCGTCGCCTCCTAGTGGTTTCCGTCGTTTTAGCCTACGGTCCCCTCCAGAGCAGGCTAATAAGTGGGAGAGACCTGAGACTTGCACACACGAGTTGCGAGTTGCATCGACTATCAGCCAGCTCGATGCATGGAGGATCTAGCCGCATGAAGACCTTAGCCTGCCGGCTCTGCGATTCCTCTGCAGCTCCACAAGGCGAAACGTCTCTGCTAATAGAGGAGCCGAGCCGGTCCATCGTGCCTGGTGGCATCGGGTGGTTAGAGGCATCAAGTCGCCGTCCCAGCTCTCCTTACCGTACAAATCCATCGGAATAATTAGATGTACATTCAGATAAGCGAACACCAACGTCCTGGACAAGGTTCTTAGTCCTTTAACGCTCCTAGCTCTGCTGATTGCTGCCATTACTCGTACTGTACGGAGTACGGGGCGGCGGATACAGGCAGTACTGTATGTACAGTCCAAAGTGGTGGCAGCGCTGACCGTTCGAGCGTCGCATTGCCAACAGAAGCTGAAGAGACGGACCTGGCTCTGGCCCACTTTGAAGCCTGCTGGGCCTGCCCCCTATTATCACTCCATTGCAGAACAACAAATACGGACTTGCGAGTGACCTGAATGGCTTCACACGGCTGGGGTGTGCAAGTAGGGAGAGGGCCTAGTGCAGCAGAGGTGGCAGGACAGAGTCGCAACAGATGCCATCATGAGACAAGGCTGCGTCTTCACCGTTGTTCGGGCTCGGGTTTGGCTTCGAGACAGCCTCCTTGTCGGTAAAGAGTATTGCCTCGAAGCTCTTGATAACTTACAGCAACGGGCGCTAACTCCGCATTATGCATACAAGTATGGTCAGCCTCCTGCAATGTTGGTCTGATCTTCTCAAGGCCTGGGTATGTACCTACTGTAGGGCTTCCCAAACCCACCGAAACACCGAGTCATTCCATGCCCTGTCCGGCTTGTCTCCTTTCCTCGGCAAAGAGCAGCAGGCCAGTCAGTCAACAGGGTCCTCTTGGCTGCTTCTACTCCGTAATGTACGATCCTTTTTCCTCCCAAGCTTTCCTTTTCACTCCTTCGGCGCTCCCTATTCGCGTAGTCGTCTCGCTACCAGTCTAGATTGGATGTGACAGGCAGCCCCTGGCCGCAATGTGCGGAGAATCCTACAAGTTACCTGCAGGCATGCAGTTTGTGTGCGCATGTTTAACATGGCCACGCAGTAGTATCATATCACATGCAGGCAGACCTCTGATATATACGAAGCAGTGTCACTACATTACAGCTAATGGCTGCTGCTGCTATATTGCGTGGTCCTCCCAACAGCTGATGCTACCCCAAACTCTTCGGGATCTGTACGAAGCGGTAATGCTGCTCCGTGCCCATCATATGTACAGCTATGCATTAACATAGATAGCGTCTCACGACTGTCCTATAGGATCAGATCCCATTGCAAGGCGTTCATCCATCTGCAGAAAGGCAATCCCACAGGTTGCAAGGCACACATTTACAAGGATCCTCGGCCGCACTGTCGCAACAGAGGCTCCACCGCTTGCCAATCAAGCCCAGACTCGTTCGTCTCTGCGTTGCTGCTGTTTCCAATGACAATCCAAGGGCTGGCGCGGCATGTCCGCATCTCTCTGTCATAAGTCCACGCCAGGCAGCTCTTCCTGTTCCGGCACTTCTTGCGGCACACCTCTGCCGATGCGATCCTCTCCCATGTCGTTGCGTCCTCGCCCGTCGGCCCCACGTAGTCCCGCATCTGACGTACCGGCTCGCGGCCAGCGTTGTCAAGTGAAGTGTCAGCAAAGAGCTGCCACAGCTGGGCCCAAATCACGGGCTGCTCTCTGTTGTTGGAGAGAGCTTGACCGATGGCTTCCATGGCCCCTGGCCTGCGGGCGCCGTGGAAGGACACAATGGGCGAGCAGAAGCGGTCTCTCTGGACGCGGGCCATGTCAGGCGGCTCACCGTTGAAATGGTGGCTATACCGCTCGTCGAGATAGATGCCCAGCTTGATCAGCGTCAGGCCTACAAGGCGGTCACCCCATGTCTCATCGAGAGAGTCGATATATGACTGAGCGACGATGTCAGGGCGATCGAACAGTCGCCGCATGACCTCCCGCGAGAGCACAATGCCTGAGCCTCCGTGTGCAAATCGAGTCTTGTAGTCACCTACGGCGTTGCCCAAGTAGTATGGCCTTGAGGGGTCCAAGTGGCTCAAGAGTAGATGCAATGAGGGCTCGATCAAGAAGGTATCGTCATCCAGGATGATGTACCATTGCTTTTCAGGCATCAGGTTGTAAGCCAACTCCATGCCGGCTATGAACTTTGACCGCTCAGACGTTAGCAGATTTGCGGGACAGGGGAATCAAGGCCATTGTTTTACCTTGAGCGCGTCCAACTCCCACCCAAACTCTTGGCCAATCTCCCTCGCCTTGTCTTCATCGGCCGAGTCGACTGCTTCTTGAAGGGAGCGATACTTGGCGAAGCGGGGGTGGCTTTGAAGCGACAGATCAACCTTTGTCTTCATCATCGTATTCACAACATTATACACAATAGGCAGCCCATCATCTGTCTGATTGTTTGGCGTCCAGTCTCCAACGACAATGAAGTTATTTTTTTCATTACTCAGAATATTTCCACCGTGAGAGAAAGCCTTCATGAGTGCAGGCACTCTATGGCGAGTGCCATAGCCCGTTTTTACGAGATAGCCGACCTCGTCTCGCAAATTGAGAGGGTATGGCGGAGGTTGTTGGTGTAGCCAAGCGTCTCGGTCTGTGGCTGATGCTCGGAGGGAGTTGAATAAGCGAGAAGCGTTGAAGTTGATGGAGAGTCGGATTGGCGAGGTAGGAGGGAGTAATAGAAAGGTTGTGCTGAGGGTGATGAAGAGGCTGGTTAATAAGAGAATGAAGCGCCGGCGAGTAGGTCGTGGTATGAATGCCATGACGATGTCAAACGAGATGCTGCTAATCCACACAAAGACACTCCTCAGCTTTCAACTACAGCGCAATGCCAGTAGCGCATATTAACTGAACGACAAATAAAAAGGGAGAGACAACCTCTCCAGAGTATCATTGACAACACAAGTAAGTAAATGAGCCACTATGACAGCTCCCCTGTTTGAAGCAACTACGGCCAAGTCTTTCTATTCAACAACGTCCTAGGGCATCTATGTTCCCCATTGTATCCTCCGACGACGGCCGAAGGCGGCACAAAAGACATGGAGTTTGAAGGCCAAGCCTAAGCCTCCTCTCAATACGTGTACTCGTATGACATTGATCATCGCACAGACTCCGGAGTGTGGAACCAGAAAGCCCAACTCTTGCGTCATACATAAGAAAACTCAATCCACTTGGGGCGCAGTTAGTAGAAATGTTCAGCCACGGTCTTTTGTTCTCTGTCTTTTGCTCTCCTATTTTTCCGGCTGATACAGTCTTTGTGTCCCACCTTTTGATCGTCAAACGCGAAACTCCCTCGTTGTCAGTCGCTAGCGGGATGATCGACGAAGCTTACGCGCGTTTATGGACACCAGAAATGTGGATTGTTCTCTTTCTATAAAAGCAATTTGTTTATAATATTCAACATAGCTATTATCGTGACTTTTTCGATATACGAAGATGGAACTTAGAGTTTGTTTTGACTCAATGGATGCTTGTACAACTTCTACTCTGGCTTCTTTCCTATAAGCAGCTACATATCTGCTTTGGTAACACTGACACTACGATCTTCGATCACAAGCGATCAGCGACTACGTCCAAGCAAGGTAAAAAACTACTAGAATACATAAACCCAAGGCTGATAATAACTGGTGTCCATCATCAGCATGCCCTCATAAAATTGGGCGTAAATTAGCCGTGCATCTTTGTAATTTAAGCTTAATTATGAAAATAATAAGCCACTATGCCTACCCAGCGAGATGAAAAGAAAAACTTCTATATAAAGATTCTTCTCTCCATGGATGTCACAAAAATAAAAAGAAGATTACCCAATTACGGGGCACCGGGCCAGACCCATACTATATTTAGCTGAACGTTCTTCTAGAACAAATTTGCGAGGGGAAATTATGGCTTCTTTTTGCTGTAAAATCGTCATCAACCACAAAGGTTCATTTGGCATTTGGGTCTAATTAAACGACTTCCAATCCAATATTAAACCGCGGATATGCCCCAAAATCCACTCATAATTTACAATCGCTGCGACGGCTGCTCTTTTTTTAGATCCAATGCTACTACTACTGCTGCTACTACTACTACAAGTACCTGTACTCTCTTACAATGAATGAAAAAATCTCTTCTTCTCGTACAAGTCATCTTCCGCACCGCCCCCTTTCTCTCTCTCTCTCCTATTTCCAATGATACTTCTCCCTCTCTCCTATGTCCAATAATACCTCTCCCTCTCTCCTATGTCCAATAATACTTTCTCTCCATTTTCCCTCTCTCTCTCTCCACCGCGCAGCCCATACTTGTATGTTCAATGTAGTTTTTTTCCGCGGCCCAAGCAAAAGCCGACAAGGTTCTAAGTTCAGATATGTCCATTCTTTTTTTGGTTCCCCCCGGGCGAACGAACTTTCTACAGTAGTACACAAACCCCCGAAATTGAACAAGACGAAAAAAAAAACGCCGGACAAATGCAAAAAAAGAAGCAAAGAAAAACAAAAAAGAAGAAGAAAAAAGGGGGAAAGGTTTCCAAATCGTGAATACTTCGTAATAGGCATTCAAAAAAAAGAAGAAAAAAACGACGAGTGAGAGTCAAAAGACTTGTATGCCAAAGGTAGAATGGGCGGCTGTGCTTTCAAGGGGTAATGATGTATGTAGTACTTCATTCTTCCGCCTCCAGCTCGTAAAATAGCAGGTAGACCTCCTTCTGCATGCCCAAGACCTCGCTTGTCTTGGCCTCGCGTACCTTTTCGTCGCTCACTCTCCACCACTTATCCGCGGGCCGTTTCTTCTTGGGTCGCGGATGAGGCTTGCCGACGCCCAGGGGGCTGGGTGATGAGGATCCGTTGAGGCTTGCTCTGGGAGGCGCGAGCTTGGACAGCGCTGACTTGGTAGATGCAGCAACAGATCGAAGGCTGCTGGTCTCGCCATCTCTGCCGTTCGTTAGGTCGACGGGGACGCTTCGAGGGGGTCCTGCAGCAGATTCTAGCGACGGCGTAGACGGAGTCGTGTCCGAGGACGGCGAGAGCAGATCCGGAGTCGATATTGAGGGGCTGTCAGATCGGAGGGCAGAAATCTGCGGTGTTGAAATGGGCGTCGGTGTCTTGCTATAGATTTCAGAGGGCTGAAAGGTATTGATGTTTGCGTAGGGAGACGGCGCATTCTGGCGCCTAAATGCTTCGTAGTGGCCGCTGTTATGGCCTCCTCGATGTGTCACGACGCCCAGGAGCTTGTATTTGCGCTGTTCGATGACGCTTCCCAGCGGCAGCTGCTCGGGAAAGGAGACCTTGGCCGAGTTCTTCTGCGTGACCTGGCCGATGCCGTAGATGGATCGGGACAGATGAATAGCCAGGATTTTGGGAAACGTAGACATGCGCGTCGTCTTGGCGATTCTCCTCTTGGGCGCATATCGAATGTCGCCGAGTTCGACGTCCTCGGGAGGCTGTTCCGGGTCGAGAGCAATGGCCATCTTCAGCTTTTCAATGTTCTCTTGGGCCACGGCCCTGAAGCTCTCGGACGTCGACTTGGCCATCTCGTGCTCGAGGTTGGTCCGGGTCTGCACTAGGCGACACATTTCGCACTTGAAGTCGTCGATATATTCCGTCTTAAAAATACCGTCAAAGCATGCGTTGAGTGTTGTCGATGAGACCTGCGGGACTGCGAGCGTCAGACTGCAGAAAGTCTCCTCCCTCGGCTTGGTGGTGTAGCCGCAAGTCTGGCACTGGATATGCGACTCGTATTTGCCCTCCAGCGGAAAGCCCTCCTCGAGTTCTAAGGGAGGCTTGTTCTGGATCTCGCGAACGGCTCTCTGCACATCGGCCAGATCGATGTTGACTGCAATCTCGCTCTCGGATCCCGCTACAGTAGATGCTTCCAATCCCAATCCGTCGGTGATGTTGATTTCGACAGCGTCATCCGACTTGTCAGTGTCGTTGCCATCCTTGTCCTTGTCCTTGGTGCTATTCGTACTCAATTCGGTCACTGCCGCCGCAATGCCCAGCTTCCGAGCATGCAGGCGAGCGCGTTGGCCGGCGTGATACTCGTCCTTCAGCCTCTCTGCCACAATCTGCAGAAACTCTTGCGCATCCTGCTGCTGCCTGCTGATGCGCTGCTTGAACGCAACCTCCAAGACCTTGACAAAGGGAAAGGGCGAAATGGCCTTTTTCGAAATGGGCCGCTCGTTAAGCGCGTCCAGCATCTCCTTCAGCCCGTGTGTCACCAGCCCATCCTGAAGGCCCTGCAGCTTCCACTGCGCAAGCTGCTTCCCGTTGCCGTCCAGGGGCTGCACCAGGTTTGCGTATACGGCCGGGTCCTCGATGCGGCGGCGATGCGTCTCGCGGATCAGGTAGACGCGCAGCTCGGGCAGCCCAGCCAGGGCCTGCAGGACCGAGTTGATGAAGCAGTCGTTGGCCTGGTTGCGCAGGCCGACGATGGTTTTCTTGCGCGAGCTGGTGGTGTCGTGGTCGATGGTAAAGGTCGGGCCGAAGACGTAGATGAGGGCGGCAGCGGCGAGAGACGCCCCGGCGGCGTACGAGACAACCGACGCCGTCTTATCGGGCATGGCTGAGCTGACCTGAACTGAAGCTTCGTACGCGAGTATGTCGGGCGAGGATCTCGGGCTCGGGGGGGTTGTGAGCGAAGCGGAAGCGGAAGCCTCGGGTTTGGGGCGGTGCGGAGAAGAAGCGGATAATATATGCGACAGCGAAGAAATAGAATAGAATGATTGGAGAAAAATGGAACAATGAACAAAAATCAAAGCAAAATCAGGCTCCCTGCTTGGCCGCGCACGCACAGGGCAGATGGAGATGCGGGCTGGGCTCGGCTTCAGTTCACGCAGTGACGGGTTGTCGCGGGCGGTGGCATCGCAGGCAAGGCTGTGATTTTGGCCTGATCTGAGTTGTGAGTTGTGAAAGGAACACACAAAGCAAAAAGGCACTTTTGGTTGGTTTGTCACACACGCCGGCGCATTTCGAGCCGCCTCGGGTCAGGACGAACGAGATTTCCACTCCAGTCTCCAGTCGGTTGCCGGCTAGCTTTCCCGAGCCTGCAGTGTCCAGTGCCAAAACAGTAAGTAAGAGATACTAAGAGATCCATTACGAAGCGGCCAGTCGTGACTCCGCAACTTGGCACTGTCAGGTCAATGTGTCATGTTAATAAATCTCGACGGACGGCGGGGAAATCGAAAGCCCCGGATTCCTTAGTATTCCTAGCGGGTAACCAGCCAGTCAGACAAAGCCAGACAAAGGGCCTCCAATTCATCTTTGTTCTGTTCTGTTCTAGCCATTGTGTGTAAGCCGGAGAATTATTTTGCGTGCGGTCAAAAAGCCATAGGCCGTGACAAGCCGACATGTCCAAGAAGAGGAAGAAAGCATCAATATACCATCTCTTGAACGGGGAGCAAGTCGGTGAGTGACAGGTGACGGGCTCCAGGTCCAACAAGACCATCTTCCACACGTTCAAGATATTTATATTTCACCCAATCAACACCGCGGAATTGCCCAACACAATCCACTACAGTATATTTAATCTCAAGCATCAAAATTTGAACCACTGCAGTTTCTCGGGTCAATGGCTCAAGTCACTTTTCTCTATACTGGGGCCATCGGGCTTGGTTATACTTCCAACATGATGCGCGGGATACTCCGTCGGCTTAATGCGTGAAGCTGGTCAAAGGGCCAGCGCTGTGCCATTTATCAGGGCAGAGGGAAAGCCGTCCTGTTTTAGAGATATTGAGGCTGCTACTCATAAAAAGTAACGAATTAGCCCCGGACTCTAAATCAGAAAGTGGCTTGTTCCTTGTGCGGCTCATTATGCATACAGCCATCGTGCAGCTAGAATGCTCGTTACCTAGCTCATATTTTTTGTAGACTACACCGTAGCATCCGGATCAAGCCGAAAGAATCTCATCAAAGGTGACACTTTCAGGAACCAAGAAATATTCTTGAAAAAGAAAAAAAAAAAAACAAGACACAGCTAACACCACAACAATCATGACTCACTGGTGCATAATGGCAAAAGCCGCCGGTGAGGCGCGAGCTCACCGGCAGCCACCAAACTTTTATACACAATAGACCTTTCTCTTACTTTTTGTGTTATATAGTCATTTTATTCTTTGATTAGAAATTTATATATATGTGTGTGTATCTCTAGTTTTACTCTGCCACTCGTCAAACCTATGCTAAGCTGATATTTTTTTTCTCTTTCCATTCGCTACACTTCCCGACGTATCGCCTTTCGATACTGTATGAACCCCCTCAAAACGTCGGATGAAACTACAAATACACCTGCATCATGGATGTATCTTCCACCAGAACTGCGATTAATGATTCTGAAACGACTTGCCGACTTAATCTACTACTCAAAAGAAAGGGACGCCCAAGAGCTGAGCCGTCAAAAATGCGCCTTCGCTACTGTTTCTCGAGAATGGCAGGTATTCTTTGAACGATGGACTTTTAGACACCTCACCTTGCATCAGTCAGACCTCACAGAATTCGGCAAGATAATGCAAGACGACAACAATCGCCGGATGTCTGTGAAATTCATCTGCCTGCGCATACAACTCCCAGAGTATGACTGCAAAAAGTGCAAAAAGGGAGAATCACCCAAAGAAATCCGAGCGAACCAACGTCTGTTCACAACAGCAGTTTGGGAGCTGTTTTCTATCCTATCTCAATGGGAACAGCACGGCGAGGTTGGATTGGAGATTAGTGTTCACTCTCCAAGCGACGCCCTTCACTATTGCCAGGAGCTCAAGAGCCGAATCCATCGCAGAGCGAACATACCCCCGAAATACTCGAAACCCAGAAAACGAGGCAAGGCCACTCACGGCTGGAATCGAGGCATACAAATCGACAACCCCCCCGACGGTGCTAAACTCAGAGTCTTTGGACATCCCAAAGGGCTAGGCTTCGACCTGCGTACATCGGTGGCCCGGAAGCTAGGAACCCTGCCCGAGGTCAAGGTAGTCACATGGCTGCTCATTCGTCGACAGTTTTACCGTCACTTCTCTGTTCCAAAGGCTTTGGGGCCGATGATCAAAAGTTTACCTCGCCTAGAGCACCTTTCGTACGAGCCGTGGCGAGGAATCGATACCAACAAGTTCTCTGGTCGGCAGATTCGAGACGAAGATCATACCCGTTTATTTCTTGACGTTATACAGCACCATAAAACTTTACATTCGGTGTCAATGTTTGAGAGCTTCAACCCTGCCATGCATACTACTGGGAAAAGAGAAGCCTATCCAGCCTTGGGCCAAAGCGTCGCGAAAGTGAGCCAGAACTTGGAGAATCTATCAGCCATCTTCAACGTCGATGCCAAAGACTTCTTCTACGCCTTCTTCCCAAGCAAGAACCCAGAACTGCCGCTACCCAGCATGTCGTGGAGCAACCTAAGGCATCTAAACCTCTGCTCAGAGCTCCTTGTCCCGGCACACTACAACGAGCTGATCCAAGTTGCGGCGGCAGCGGCACTCCAGATGCCGAAACTTGTATGCATGGAACTATGGAACAGCGGGACACACATCACGTCGTGCATATTTACATATTGTAGGTCACGCGACAGGCGACGATACATAGAATTACTCAACACCTGGGGTGGACGACTTGACAAACAAGCAATTGCGCGCTGGCGGGAGGTGGCAGACCGTGTTGCTGGCTGTGATCTAGACGTGCGTTCGCTTTACTTGGACGTAAATGTGTTTGACAATTATACGTCTGTTCTGCAATATCTACACCTGAGAACCGGGCTCTTGTCTAAGACGTCTTTATGGGACGTGGCAGTTGGGCTCTAGATGTGTCAGCCGCTGAGGGGATTCTTCTATCCACATCAGATGATCCGCAGAATGAAGGAAAAGCCTCTGAGCGTCCCTACAGCCTGACTGAAGATATTTTACAGCCGGGGAATGGGAATGTATCTATAGACAGCGTATCCTGGGGGTTTAGTAAAGGAAATGCTAGCCAGCACCCCAACTCTGCTATCTAGCATCCCAAGTCAGTAATTCATAACTAGATATATAAATATTGAATAATAATAACAAAAACTACCTACCTATAGAGAAATATAGCTATTGTAGCAGATACAAGAAAAATATAGTGAACACAAAGACCTATCCAAGTACCTTAGACATAAGGTATCTATGAGCGAGGAAATAAAACGTTTCCCTCCACCTTCTATTCTAGCACTCGAACCTCATGCAATCGCTGGGATACTGGATAGCAGAGTTGGGGCGCTGACTATTACCTGTTGACCAACGACAGGTCGGGAGGGGGAGAATCCTTCTTCGGTGCTCTCGGCATCTTGCAGGTTGACGAGTTGATGTTGCGTGGCAGCGTGGCAGCGTGGCAGCGTGGCAGGCAAAGATGCGGGAGTAGGAGCGCGGCACAGAAGAGTACGCCGACCTGCTTGCAGACAAGGTATTCTACATCGAGCCGTCGGCGTAGTCTAGCATCTCCCTTAATCAAGTGTTAAAGTCACATCTCAAAACAATGATTGCCAATAATCACTATCCTAATTCAACTGTGCTATGAGAATACATCTAGATATAGCGTACAATGCACGGAGCCAGTAGGTATACAGTCCACCCAGCTCCTCTCCTCTTCCTCTCTCTCCCAAAATCACAATTAGGAAACACGAACCGCAATTTTTGTTTGTTTGCTGCCACCCAAAACAAAGGAAAAGTCGGCATCTTGTCGGCCGGCGATGCTTAGGAAAAATACATATAGAACAAAAAGAAAAAGAAGAAAGAAAACCATCCAAATTCATCTTTGACAACAAAAGAAAGGGAACGGAAAAAAAAGAAACAATAGAGGGTATCGTCTAAGCACTGCTCCGCCCACTTCGCAATGACCATCTTACAACTCATCTTTTCCATGCTTCGCAGCGTCGGTTGCCTTGCTCGCAATGCTTCCCACCTTTTCGCCAACTGATCCAGCCGCCGCACTGGCTTCACTCGCCAGGCTGGCCACGTTCTGTGTTGCCGATGCATACGCCGCTTGAAGTCTTGATAATACACTCTCCGTGAAAGGCGCCTCCCGACCAACGATCAGCTCCGAAACCAGCTCGCTCACAGACTCGTACTCCTTTGCGGCACCGGCAGATGCAGTTTCAGTGGCTCTGCCAACAGCAGAGGTGGCACTCGCCACGACGGCCTGCGCATCCGATACCCATCCCTCGTACCATCCAATGGCTGCCGGGGTTGGCTGACCATATATGTCAATGCTGAGTTGGCTGATCACAGTTCCAAAAGTCTCGCCAATGGCTAATCCAGCGTTGTAAATCTGCTCAGTCGCAGCATCGTGTAAAGAAGAGATAGAATCGTCAACGGCTTCGACCGCAGAAGCAACATTCTCAGTCGCCTTGGCGTAGGCAGATTCAGCAGCCTTTCCCGCAGCAGAAGCCATTGAAATTGCAGAGTCGGTGAAAGCCATGGGAGTAGGGGTTGGTGTGGCTGTTAGGGAGGATAACGCCGAAGAGGCAGCAGAAATGAAATTGTTGTAACGATCATGCGCCATCCCGAGTCCGGCGTAATAGTTATACTTGGCCTGCTCATAATATTTCTCAGCTGCAGAGGTTGAAGTAGGCGTTGCGGTTGCTAATCCCAGAGCAATCAAGGCACTCTGGTACTGAAGCTCCGCCCATAGCTTGCCCTCGTTCAGGCGCTCCGCCGCAATCGATTCTACTTTACTCCAGTGTGCCTGTGTCGGGGTTGCCGGAGTGGTTGTCGGGGTGCCATAGACACCAGCTGATGCAGCGTCTACGACATCCTTGAATCTTGAGCTCGCTGCAGCGACTGCCTGGTCGTAAGCGGCCGATACGGAAGAAAGAAGTTGGTTTTGGACGGCCGGGGTCGGGGTGCCATGGACCTGGGCGGAAATAATGGACGATGCACTCGAATACTGGTCAGATGCTAGAGAAATTGCGCTGGCATAAGCTGCCTCGGCAGCTTTAGTCGCGCTAGATAGGAAGTTATCGTCAGTTTCATCGTCCTCGTCGTCCAAGATGGGTTGCCAGCCAGAGACTACCTGAGCGGCCGCGCCGAGGAAAGTTGCCTTGACGGAAGCGGAATCGTTGTCCAGGATCTTTTGATCTTGTTGCCATGAGATCTCGTCCTCATCCAGGATATCGTCCTCGGATTCCAACACGGCCTCGGCAGTTTCTTCAGGCTCGGATTCCAGTACGGTTTCGGTAGTCGCAGCGCTGGGAGTTATGGAAGGCTCCTCCAAAACAGCCGAGCTAGATTCTTCATTGTCATGAGAGACAGGGATTTCGGCCGTTTCAACCTCGACCTCGGGCTCTACAATTCCGTCTTCTAGGGAATCCGGAACTTCGTCGGTCTGGCTGGTAAGGGGCTCCTGGGCTTTTTCGTTGAGGTCAGCATGCTCCTCCACAACATGTTCAAAGACATTCGAGCCGGCGTCGTCCACAATGGGAAGCTCCTCGTCCGACGATTCCTCGTCCACAACGGCGTCATCAATGACCTCATCCGCGGAATCAGACTCCAATGGCGATGTGGCCTCGTCAGTTGTTCCTGGTGTTGCCTCTTCTGCGACAGCTTCCAAGACAGCTTCCAAGACGGTATTATCAGCAGCCGACAAAGGCGTCTCTTCACCATGGGTTTCATTAGCGGTTTCTGCTGAAGGCTCTCCAGCTGCTTCATCATCTCCCTGCTCGTAACTCTCCACAGTGGTTTCGTCCTCAGGCACGACTGGGTTCTGTGCAGCTTCTGCTGCTTTCTCCATCGCCTCAGAATCAAAGTTGTCGGTAGCGTCATTCGCGAGAATCTTCCACTGGGCAACTTGCTTAAGACGAGCAAGCTCCTTGGCAGCGCTAGAGGCAATGGTCATTCCGTCATCCTCGACCAGAGCTGCAGCATCCTGTGCTTGAAGCAGCGTGGGGTGAGTGACAATGAGATGTTTCAGCTCTTCGGTCCAATCCCCCAGTGTCTGCTTGAGCTCGTGATACTTTGCCCAATCTCTATATGTAACTCCATCGGTCCAGGCCCATTTCATTCCGAGTTGCTGAAGCGCGAGATTCGTAGTCTCATCAAGTATCTGGAAATGTACGTCGGCGGCCTTGAGAACCATGTATTGCAAATTATCGTCATACTCTTCCCGCCAGGACCTGATTCCTTGCGCGGCTGTCTTGATGGCTATGCCAGCAGCTCGGATAGCAGCAACGATTTGTTCTTGGGCATCGTCGAGTGGGTTGGCGGCATTCTCTGCAACAATACTAGCAATCTTGGCCTTGAGACCATCAGTCTCCGACTGGACTAGTGCCTCGAGCTTCTTGACAAGGGGCTTGCCCTTGGAGACAATCTCATCGACAACCATGCGGTTAGCAATCTCGTCGATCCGGTCCTCCATATCGGCAGCGCCCTCTTCGGCCTGGGCAGCAAATTTATTCTGCCACATCTCAAGGTCCTGCGCTACCATCTCGCGGGCAATCCTTCTCTTCTCCGTTTCATTTTCCGCAGCAGGAGGGGCCTGCACAGGGTTCCAGTATGATTCTGTTACCGGCTGCTGCTCTACGCTTGAGCTCGGAGGGGGAGCAACAGATTCGGAAGCTGTTGTGCTTGCGGATTGTGTGCCCTGTGGGGCCGGTTTGCTAAAGGACGAGTATCGTGGTGGCTCAGTAGTGGTTTTTCGTCTCCTAAGCTCTTGTTAGACGACACGAGGAGAAGCTGGAAGGGTGTTGATCAGGGAAATGGAGATTCACTTACGTAGAAGACGACGTCACTTCAGGAAGGACTCTGGTCTTTGCTCGGTTCTTGTACCTTTCCAAGCGCTCACCAATGCGAACGAGCTGAGGCTCTACATTCTCAACGTAGACCATTCGAACCTGCGGCCACACGGCCTTGTTGAGGAAGGCATTCGTCTTTCCCCAAACCCACTGAGCAGCAGGCAGGGCCGTGCCAGTGGTGAAACTCGAGGCCGCGTTGTAGCCTTGGTGCGCATAGGGTTGCACCAGTTCGTAGCTTGGCAGCAAGACCTGGTAGTACAGCCGGAGAGAATTGATATGGCCGATTTCGTAGTAGGGTCCGAAAACCTCGCCTGCGCGCTCCATGTATGGAGCAATTGTTTCCTCATACTGCTTCTGGGACAGAGCACGCAGCTGAGCTACCTGAGGCTGGCCATGCTTCTCCCATTGAGCCCAGACTTGTTCCTGGCCCTTTTCGACCCATGGTCCACCGTATTGGACGGCATAGGTGCGCGCTGGAGTGAGGACGCTGGAGTCGACGGCTTGGTAGTATGGCCACGCAAAGTCCGCATATGGCGCAATGTATTGGTCGTAGTATGGCAGCGTGTATGGGGCGACGGCGGCTTTGGCTTGGAAGTACGGTTTGCAGATGAAGGGAGAGTCTTGATCGCATTCCTCGAGCGTGGAAGGACAGCGGAAGAGAAGCGTGAGGATAAAGGCCCAGGTCGCAAGTCTGTGGATGCAATCATCGATCAGCACATGTTGGTTCCCCCGCGCATGACAGGCCAAGCTGCAGCAAGCCACAAGCGACCAGGCGCCGCATCGCAACGTCGAAAAAAGCAGCAATTGGGGTCGTCAAGGATGGAAATCTCGAGAAGTTACAACTTACCTAGCGACAGCCCCTGCTACCCAGCCCACGAAGCCGCGTCGTGGTCGTGGTGCAGCAAGTTTCTTGCCTGGTGTCTGGCCGTT